CATAATGATATAATTATATTTAAATTTATACATGAATAACCAATTTATCATTGTTCATAAATTACAAAATAATTTTAGAAATCTTGGTTTCTAACTTTTATGTAAGTAAAAATTTTGATTTAAATGTTTTAAATTGAAAATTAAAATATCCAAAATTAAAAATAATTTTTGATGGGTATGAATAAATATTATAATTAGTGAATAACAATATAAATTAATGGATTAGAGTTCCATTTTTATTAATATTTAACTTTGAATATTTTTAAAACAATTTAATTTCTGCTGTAATTAATTAATTACATATTTGGTTGATATTTATAAAGATTTCTTCTACATTTTAAAAGACAATAATTATAATAATTTTTAGATTATATGATGTCTTCCTTTCTGACAATATAGAAAACAATAAATAAAGAAAAAAATGAAGAGTTATCTAAATAAATACAAAAGAAAAAGCGTAAAAATTAATATACTTTGGAGTTTAACTTTGGCAGTAACATAGATGTTACTTAACTTAAAGAAATTATAGTAATTACTTAAAATATACCTCAATTTATTCATCAAAATATTGTCTTCAGATTGAATTCTAACATATAATTTCCTGTTATGATTGATTCTTAATACTAGCTAGGATTTTTGAATATTGATCCTCATTCCTATAATTATAAGGTAGCTAGGTACGATAAATATAATAGCTATCACATTTTTAATTTAGAACCAATTCATCGAGCATTTACATCTTTAGAAATAATAAAGGAAGTATTAATGAAAGAAGAAATCTAATTGTTTGAGTGTTTTGAATAATTTCATAACAAAAATACAGACATTTCTAAATACAATATAGTAAATGAAACAAAACTAGTTGAATTTGAGAAGAATATCCAATGTCCATTTACATTATATATACAAAATAATAAAAATGGAATTGTCACTACAACAGCTAGAGTAATGAATGATGCCTATCTTTAAATGATAGGAATCAATGAAGAAATGCTTAAAGATTATGTATTTAAGACAGGTATGCTTCCATAATCTTTTGCTGGTGATGAGAATTCTAGATGGAGTTAAACTTTAGCCTAAATATTTAAATCTAATGCTTCCTTGACTTTTGGATAATTAATGCTAGTTAATTATTAAGGATAAAAGTTTCCTGTCTAATTATAATCATAAAACTTTTATCTATTCAATTAAGATGATAATACTTATACTGAATACCTTTACTATTATTATAATGTTGAATAGAAGTGGATAAATAGTAAATAGATTGAAGAAAATAGTTTAGATTATTTCAACAGAAAGTCAGTAAATAATAATGAAGACACAAATGAGGTTGAGTATTAGAAGAGATGCAAATATAGAAAATTATGACTGCCTAAAATATTTAATATTATTGATTTTATATTATTACAATTTAAATAAAGTAATAATAATGATTATTTTACTTTCATAATCGAAAAGCAGGTTGTTAATATGAATTCATTTATTCTTGTTTAATAATTTCCAAAATTATTTTTCAGACCTTTGTAATAAATTTTTGAAATATTAATAAATTCAATTAAATAAAAGAAAAACAATGATGGATAAATATTATCCATAATAAAAATTTATAGATGAAGGATTTAATATTTAAATGGTTTTAAATCTATATATATCTTATGAAAGACTTTAATATTATATACAATTTAGTTAGCATTTTGTTAAGAATTGTTTATAAATTAAAAATTAATTAAATGATTATTCCTGAAAAATTTAGTGGTTTAGATCTCTCAAGCATTAAACCAATAATGAATCAGAATTTGATTGTAGTAAACAAATACAATTATCGTATTTACTCTATTCCTGATTTGAAATACATATTAGATGGCATTATATTTAATAAAAAAATAAGAGCTATTTATTGCTAAAATGAATTCATGTATGTAGGATGTGGAAAGAAAGTTTATACAATTAAAAGAAATGTAATAGATGAAAAGGAATACGATGATAAAATTGAATAAATCTTAGTATTTCATCCAATCAAGATAATAGCCACAAAACATAAATTACATATAAATGATAATGTGATGAACTTTTAAGGTATTAAAGGAATTCTTCACATTCCCACATATTTAAATAAAATACTTTTGTACACTTCACAATATATCAAAATAATTAACATCATTTCTCTTAGTATTGTAACAACAATATTTTAATAATCAATTTTCAATAAATAAGAATAAACAATTCATTTAGTAAAAGAAACTTAGGCATTAGATATAGTAGCTATAGCAACTCAAAATCCAAGTGAAATTATATTTTTTAATCTATTGACATATGAAATAATTGCTAAATATGAATTGGGATTATCATAAATTAAAGATATACAATTCAATAAATCTGGAAGTATTCCTATAATGAGTGTTGTCTAAGATAAATCATTAATTTTATATAATCTAAACTCTTAAGAATTAATATATACATTTAAGCATGAATATTTAATTGATTGGGTTTTGTTTTTAGCAAATAATACTTTAGTGATAGGTTCTTAATAAGGAAATAGTGTATAATAATATACTATTGAAGAACATAAAATGATGTAATTAATTAGAGAAAGATAAGGAGTTAAATAAAATATTGAATAATGTCATTTCTATGGTTAATTAGGAGAACCATAAATTAATTATGTTGCTATAACTAAAGATGAAATACTTTATTAATCTATTGTAAATTAAAATCTTACAGCTATCAAACAAGGATAAATTAAGAATTTTTCATTTTCTACTTTAAGAGAAAATGATTGGGCTAATATGTTAACTACAAATAATTCAAATTATGTTGAATTTTGGAATATTTATTAAAAAAAATTAACTACAAAAGTAAACGGATTAAATAGTCATGAAAGAATATTATAAACTTTTGTTACAAAATGTGGAAATTATGGATTTATTGCAAATCTAAATAAAATTCATAAATTTATTATGTAAAGTGGATTTTATTAGATGTCATATGTAAATAAAATTGTATTAATATTAGAATCTATAATCCAATTTCTTATAAATGTATATAGATCCATCTAATATATTTTTAATTGTTGCTGAAGAAGGTCAAATTGAATAATTAGATTTTGTTTCTGGTTAAAACTTAAAAACATTAACTATTGAATCAAATGTTTCTAAGTTTATTGGATCACTATCAGCTTAAATTGCTGTTGTATCCTTGTAAAATCATAAGATTTTAGCTATTGATTATTCAACCATGAGAATTATTAGATCATTTGAAGGTCATAACGAAAAAGTAAATAAATATATATAATCAATAGATATTGGATATGGCTATGACAATAGATAATTAACATTTCATTTCAACATCTCTTGATAAGAAAATTAAAATTTGGAATTTAATATATGGTAATTTAGTCTAAGAAATTTCTATCAATAAAGCTCTTATTTCAATAGATGTTTCAGAAAATCAATTAATTGGAGTATTTCTAAATTCTAGATAAATAAATGTTTGGATGAGTTACTTAAATAATCCATAACAAATAGCAAAAGCTAAATTGAAATGTGATATTAATTTTCATTCTGATCTTTCAATTAAATCTAAAGATTATAGATCTATCTTATATGGTAATCAAATTAATTAGGTTTAAAAGATGGAAGAGGAAAAAGATATTAAAGATAAATTGATAATTAAGGATACTTCTAATAATAAGGACTTTATAAGTTTTACAAAATTAGAAGAAGGAAGATGGGTTCCTATATAAAATATTGATTAAATTAGAGAAAGAAATAGAGTTAAACTTGCTGATGCAGATGTTAAAATGCCATTCTTTTTAGATTTTAGAAATACTGATGTTGAAAAATAAAATATTTTAAATGAAATAAAAGAATAAGTAAAAGAAAAAACTAAAATTTTAAAATAAAAAAAAGATCATTATTTAGCTGAATTGAAATCAGAATTTGAAGTCTTAGTTGAATAAGAGGATGTTTAATTAATTAATCTGATTAAAAAATTAAGTCCTTCTTCATATGATTATGAATTAAGAAGTATTTTGATGGGTAAACCACAAAATTAAATTAAAATTTTTAGAATATTTGAAGAAAGCCTTCAAAATACAATTGATTTAGATTTAAAAGTTACATATTTAATGAGATTTATAGAAGTAAGTTAATATTAAATATTTATTAGGTAGCAAGAGAAGATATAGATTTATCAATGGATGAAGAACTAAAACAAACCTTATTGAAGATAGTATAAATCTTAGAATAGTAATGGGATAAATTAGATGATACAAGATCCTATATTGAGTGCGTTATTGATTATTCTAAAACTATAATTTGATTTTTAATTTAGAGTATTTAAATTTAAACAAAAATATTAATCTATAGCCCTATTTCATTATTCAAAAGTTTTATTTATATTAAATGAATTTTATATATAAATTATTTATAATTATCATTTGATATCTTTGAGTATTATAATTAAACAAAATATTTTCTAAATTAAAATTACAATATTGTATTTTTATTCTTCAAATTCCCTTATTTTTATTTGCTACTATATAATTGTAATTATTTATTTAATATATTATCATAATTTTTACAAAATTCATTCAATTATCTATTATTATTAGACATATTTATTTTAATAAACTTCATTATTATCAATAATATTTTTTTTCCCAATCATATGATAAGAGATAGAGAAGTAGCTGTTTATATATTATAGAATTTAGTTGTAATTATATATAATTTTTATTCCAGAGATAAAAAAAAAAAGTTTTCTTTACTAAATAACACTGATCGAAAATATTCATAACTAATAGTAATAGTCCTTACTTAAATTTTATAAGATATTTATCTATAATAAGTGGGAATTTAAGATGAATTTATGATAGTAAAATAAAAAAAAAATAAAAAATATTGGAATCTAGATTGAATAACTAAAAATATGAATATATTTGAAAATAGATATATAATATGTTTGATTAATAAGAATCAAGGTTATATCTCTTATCTAACTCAATATTTTTATAAATTAAGTTAAATTAGATGTCTATATAATATGTGTTAACTTGTCGATTTTATATTCGAATTATAAACATATCCTATAGATTCTTTCTTTAGAAACCTATTAGCTAGGATTCTAAATAATTTTTATTATTTTTCATTATTGGTATACCTAATTAAATGTTTAACATTTTTAATGTTATTTTTTAGTTAAGTGAGTAATTTTAGAAATTCTATGCCTTATTTTTCTCCCAAATAGTTTAGTATTTCTATTCTTTGTCTCAAAATGTATTAGACAATAGCTTTAGCATAATTTTTTTAGATATTTGTAGATTTTTATGAAAGACTTTTTGGTTGTGAGTTATTTTTAGATTTATTTTTCACAACTACCGAATCAATGCTTTCTATAGATTCTTAGACTTATTTTTCATTAAAAGTTGAACAAGAAGCTAATAAAGGTACTTCTTATGAAGCAATTTAAGGAGGTTATTAGGTTAGTTAGGTTGTTAAAGAATTGCTTAAATTTCCATCAGAATATCCCTGATACCCATTAATGACAGGAATAAAGTATATAGGATAATATAGAGGTTATTAAGGTTATGCATAAAGATTGTAAGCTGGTAAGAATTATTGATTCCACATTAGATTTAATAAATATTAAAATCGATTAGTATGTTACTTTATAAACATTTGATTTCGGTTTATTTACTTAGTATATTCAATTAAAATTTTCAGGAAATTTTTACTATTTCAATTAAAATTCCATAAAACACAATTATTTTAACATTATTTTTCAAAAATTCATTAAAAATACGGTTTATATTGATTTTTTAAATAAAAGTGAGGTAGGTTTTAATATGTTATCAGCATTTTTATTTCACTGAAATTAATTTTCAATTACTAGATTTTCGGTTTTTAATGAAAACAAAATTTAGTAAAATTTCTTTTTGGATCATCTTTTTTTCTATAATTTACAAACAACAGTTAAAAATTATATCAATGTGGATAAAGAGGTATGCTTAATCAACTTAATAACTTGATTTTATTAATTAAGTAAAATCATGTCTATAAATATATATAATTATTCTTCTTTATTTGAAATGCTTATTATATTTAACTAAATAGCTTTGTTTGAATGATTTTAATGATATCTAACCTAATTATTATTTTAAATATCAAAAATAAAAAGCAATCGTATAAGGAAGTTGTCTATAAGTTTAACTTATTGTTAGACATAAGTCATAGTAATTCTTAAGAATCATTAAGTAATGATTTGTTTGACATAAAATTTGCAGTTATATGAGTATATTTATCATTTCTAAGTTACTTAAAGAAAATATTAAAATTTCTTACTTGAGTTTATTTGTTATTGCAAAAATTGATTGAAAATTTTTAAATTCAAAGAAAAAACAATAATATTATTAGGTCTACAAAATATATTAGAATCATCTAAAGACATTATTTAATTAGTTCATGAAATGTATAATTTTATTGAAAATTATATGAAAAATATTATACATATTTTAATTAGAAAATGTAAGAAATGTATTTTAGGATTTGTTAAATTATATTTGAATCTTAATTTATGAACTAATTTAACTCAAATAAATTGTTTATAGTATCAGAATTATATTAATTATAATTTAAAATATTATTTTTATGAATATTATTTATTAAATTTCAACATCTTAATAGACTATGGTGGATCAATTTTTTATGTCTAAGATGGCTATTCTTTTTTAATATTCTTGAGTTGAATATATAAGAATTACTTTTTGTTTTTAAGAAATAGTTTCTAAATAATAATTTACATATATTATTAATACCCTAAAATTCTAAAAGCCTTAATAAAATCTTAATTGTTTGTATATTAAGAAATATGACTAACATTTTAGATCTAGTTTTTTATTAACTTTGTTAATTAAATAAATTCATCAACTCCTTGATTGCCTAAGATTTTAGAAGCTAATGACTTATTTTTATAAACAAAGCTAGCAATGGCTTTTGCGTAATTCTTTTATATATTCTTTGACTCTTTTTCAAATTAAACCTAATTGTTTAAGTGATTTGAGGATTTTTAATTTTTTTCCTATTTTTACATTGGCTTATCTTCTGTAATTTTGGCACTCATTATAGCCAATGAATGTGAAGTAGATGAAGAATTTTCTGTTTCTTTTTATTGTGGCTATTCTATTCTTCTCTAGTTGAGCTCTTGAATTTCAACTTGGGGAAGCTATTATATTAATTCATTTTAAGGCATAAATGTTTAAATTGGTTAAAGCTATACCTAGTAATTGAATTAAGGGTAAGATTAAAAGAATGGGACATAAACAAAGGCTGTTTATTAAATAGGGTATGAAGGAATAAAGCAAGGGAGGTTAAAGTTCATGAGTTTTAGAGACTCTAGTTTTGATGTTAGATTAAAAAGAAGATTTAATTAATCAAAATACCAGATATTTTTGTGTTAATTATTCAAGTATAATTTTCAGTACTTAATCATCCATTGCTTTATTCAAATTTTTAATTGATACAGGAAAGAGATAATTAAACTTGTATATATTTTATTATGGATAAACTATTAGAAAATGAGTATAAATAAATAATAAAGAAAGCTAAGTCTCTATTTAAAACAAAATGTTTGTTTAAAATTAGAAGTTATATAGAAATTAAATAAACATTAATACTTCTACGCATTTGATTAAATCAAATAAACTGATATAATCTGATCTAGACTGCATAAAATTAATAAGTGATGATAATTAATTGTGCTTTAATTAAATATATTAGTCTTTTATAATAGTTCAGCATTTTTTAGTATATATTATTTTTGTTAATTTATTTTCTAGATTTCTAATTATATATAGTATTCTTCTTATTACTAAATATTTTTAGAATTTATATGTTTCTTCTGATAAAATATTATGAATTTTAATTTTTATCAATTTATATATCATAAGTGAATTTTTAAGTTTCATTTGTTGAAAAATATCAATATATTGATATTCTAGTAAACGCTTCCATTAATAGCATCCATATATAAATAGTTTTCAATACTCTTATGATTAAATTTTAAAATATACTTATTTTTTACAATATTTTAATATGTATAAATTTTAAGATGTTTGGAAAGTGTTTAAATAATTAGATAACTTTGTTATATTATAATTGATTATATAATCAATCATCAAAATATATTAATTTGATTAAATAAATAAATGAAAAGGTTTTACTACGAATATTATTAACAAATAAACAATAGAAGAAAAACACTTCATAACAAGAGTGAATTATTTATTGGGAAAAAAGAAAACGAGTCATCAACCATTCATTCTATTGAATAACTAAAATCTAAGAAATTTTCAATTTCAAGACCAATAAGTTCAATCAGTCTTAAAAGAAACAGTACATCATAAATTGATAACAGTTTTAATCTGATAAGTCTCAATGAATTTGCACTGATTTAATAATATAAAACAGTGAATTTAATATCAAATTAGCTAAACCGAACATCTAGTAAACAATTTAGAAAAAGGATAATTAGTTCAGATAAAAATTAATAGTTTAGACAATTTCCAAATAAATCGATAATTATTTCAAATATTAACGTAGAATGATTTGATTATAATTTATATAATCATCATTCTTAAATTAATAAAACATCTTTCACTATTTACCAAAAGAAATTTATTATCAAATGATTAGATATTGAAATTATATAATTTTATTATGTTAATGCAATAATTCAAAAGTTTTATTGTTAATTATTTTAATTAATTATTGGATTAAAAGAATATAGAAGAATAAAGTTTTTTAAAATAATAAGAAATTTATTATTTACTTTCTTAAAGAATAATTTGATTGTATTTTTTATATAAAATCAAATAATTATTCAACACTATTTAATAATTATTTGTGTGTAAATTGAAAATACTATATTTCAAAATTAGAATCAAGAATAAGTGCAAATAAATTAAAAATTTTTAATATTTAATATATCTAAATAATCAAAGTTCACAATGTTTGCTATAATTTTATTTATAATTAAAATACCTATATTTATATGGTTTTTGGATGATGTGGGCATTGTTTTATAGTATTTTAATCTAGAATTTTTTAAGTTTATTATTTTACTTAAAAGGAATATAAATTGTTGAGAGCTAAACATAAAATTAAATAAAATAAATGAAAAATAATGTAGAAAAATTCAAAAATAACAATAAAGAGATCATAAATTAAGAAAATTAAAAATATTAATAAATATATGATTTTTCTTTGTGATTATCTTAAGCATCAATTTTTTATAAGAATAAAATTTTATTTAATTATTAATAACATATATAATTAAAGAATTTATTAATTATTATATTAGATGGCTTTCTAACCATGCAAAATACTATCCTTGATTTCACCTAATTAGTTTTTGATATAAACCTAATAATAGAAGACAATAATTGTCGGGAATGGAATTCCTAATTTTTTAACAAGAAGCAAATTAAATATTAATCAAAAGGCTCTTGATATCTATTTTTAATAATTGCAATTAGTTAATAAGGAAGCATCATACTTGACCAAAACTAATTAATTACAAATAAATGGAAAAGACTTATTATAAGAGATACCTAATGAAACTGAAATTCATTTAAAACTTATTGGGATTTAAAATGAAGAACCAAATTAAACCTAGATAGTTTTAGATTTTATTAAATAGTATAGAAATAAAACTATTGATGCGATCTTAGTATCTTCTGAAGGAAATATTTTAAACTTCCTATATAATAAAGATACAATCATAAGTTTAATTCCTAATGCTATCTTTATTGATGGTAATCATTATAATTTATATAAGAATTTGCAATTTAAGAATAAGGATACTCTAAATTATTATAGAAAGAGTGGCTTAATAGAGAGTTTAGTATAACATTTAAAGGAACTTAAATTATGACTGTCAATAATTAAAGAAATTATATTCATTTTCCTATTTTAAAAGCTGACTTATATCCTACTAGCTAAAAAAATAATGAACTTGGCAATTAATTTTATTCTTCATTAATTTAAAATGGATTTGCATATATTACTGATTGGGGGTAATCATTTAATTAAATATAGCAAAATGAATTTACCCCAAAATTCTTTTCAATTATTATTTTTAAATTAAGAGGAGGCCAAGAAAAACAATTTAGGACTTTGGAAAAATGGAGAATTGGATAGAAAAATGCTCAATTCAGTTAGTTCTTAAATTACTGGATAAATTGTTGAAATAATTGAGGCTAATTAATATTTAGTGAAAACAGATAAGGAGATATTGACAATCAAATTAGATAGAATTTTCATTGAAGGATTAGAAGCTAAAGAATTTGCAAGAAAATTATTAATAGGAAAGAAAGTTAATATTTTGGAAGTAGGTGATAATATGCCATTATAAACCATACAACTTTGTGATAATAATTTAGATATTGAAGAAGAACTTATAGTTAATGGATGGGCAACAGCTAAGGAGAATCATCCTTAATTATCAAAATATAAGTTTTAACAATTTAAATAAATGAATTTGCAAGCTAAATAGAAGAAAATAGGATAATATAGTCCAGAATTGACTTGGAGAATTGAAGATTAAACAGATTAAAAATAAGGAAAGAGTGTAAATGAAATAATATGGTCGAGTATTCAGAGAGATATATAAAGTTAATAATAATCAGCAGTGAGTACTGGTATTGCAATAAAAGATGATAATCAACTAGAAGTATTGATCGATAAAATATTGCCTAATGGATAATTTATTATAACTATTTTAAAGTTTCATACAATGGTTAAATTTACCATATAAGGTATAGCTAAACTATCAGAATTTGAAACTAGTTTTCCAAATGTTACAAAATATGAAGAGTAAAGATAATAATTTAGTTATTATGTTTTAATGTAAAGAAATGCTTGGATTCATTTTGAAAGTTTTAATATTGAAGAGAATATGTTTTATGGAAAGATATATGAGAAGAAAAATAATAAAGATACTGATTTTACTTTATAATTACTAAAACTAGGTTTAACATTTATTAAAACTAATACTGATTTTTATAGTAAATATGAGGAGGCATAGAAAGAGGCAGAAAAACAGAAGAAAGGATTTTGGAATGAATCATATGCTTAATTTATAATAGACTATTCATAAAATAAATAAACTTTAAAAAAATAAAAAAGTAATTAGGGAAACATATAAAGAATTGAAAATTAATAGATTTAAAAAGTTATAGTAACTGCTGTCAATGATTGCAATGAGTTTTATATTAAAAAAGAATCTAATCCTGAATTTGAAGATCTCGAAATTCAAATTGAAAATGCTTAATTGAATGTAATTTTATTTTCTTATTTTTATTTAGCCTCTCAAGAAACCAGTTAAGAAAGGAACTCTATGTTTAGCAAGATTTTCTGAAGACAATAGAATTTACAGAGCTTAAGTATTATAAGCATTTAAGAATGATAAATTTTTAATTAAATTTATAGATTATGGAAATAATGATGAAGTCAACTATTAAGATATGGGTATTTTACCAGCTTAATTTACAAATATTCCTTTATAGGCTAAAATGTGTTCTTTAGCTTATTTGAGAGTTCCTCCTTCATCACATGAATATGCTTAAGAGGCATCTGATTAATTTAGGGAATTACTTCTTGATTAATAATTTGATTCTAAAATTGCATATATAGAGAAATAGTCTAATAGATAATTTGTAACTCTATAACCATAAGATCAGCCAGATGAATTAAAATTCACAATTAATAAAATTGTTTTAGAAAAAGGGTATAAACTTAATGTATAAATAAACTAGATTAGGAAGAATAGATAATAGAATTTTGTATAATCCTTTAAAAGAATTTAAAAACTTTGAAATAGAAGCAAAAGCAAATGGAATTGGTATTTGGGGATTTGATGATTGTTTAGAAGATGAAAAATAATTTGAAGATGAATATGATTATTATGATTCATGAGTTGATTACATTTATATTATTCAATTATAAATATGATATCATATACAAACAGATAACATAAAAAACAATTGATCATATTAAAAAATATGGAACTTATTTTTTTATCTCTTAGCTTAAATTAAATAAATAAAATAATTACTAATTCATTCTCAATATTTGATCACCAAAATCATGTACATTTTATAGGTCATGAATAATATTAGAATCTTTTTTTAATAATTTTTTTAATGATGCACCTTAAAATCTGATATTTGATTATTTATAATGCAAAGGTGTCTCAAATTAATCCTTACATAAAGTTTCAATCATTTATTCATGAGTATCAGGAAGAGTATAAGAAAAATAAATCTGATAAGCAAACTTTGATTTAAAAGAAGTCCAATCCATTAAAAATTAATAATATATAAATTAAATATTTCTAATTTATTTTTAATATAATTATATTCAAGAATCCTATTTATTAATTAACATTAATACTATAAATAATAAGAAGATATGTAATATCTATTTTGATATTCAAATTTAAATTGATAAATACATAAAAACTGATATAGAAATAATTTTTCATGTGCACTTATAGTTCTCTCTAATTGTATACATATTAAGTGACATTATATATGTGGTTGAATAAGATAAAACAACAAAGATATGCCAAATGGTATGACTGTTGATCTAGGATTAATTGAAAGAATACAAAGATATCAAATCTTCTGGGATAGCATCTTTCTGGAAATCTAGTAGCATATGTTATAATGCCTGATATTAAGAATATTAGCATAACCAAAAAATAGTTTTCAGTATCATTAAAGTGAAAATGACCTCCCAATAAATTATATCTGCTGAACATCATCAAATGAAATACTGGAGTGAAAATAAATGTAAAAAACATTACATATATAAGTGTTTTATAAACCACAAATTACTCTTTATGCATATAATCAAATAGACTTGATATAAATGTAAGAATGCATAGCAAAATAATCATAAATGTATATATATCTTTTATTTGCTGATTACAATAGAAACCATATTGTATTACTGGTATGACTCCTCCACTTGCTACTAAACATATTCCACCATAATCTAGTCTTAAAAGAACACAACTCAAAGTCTTATTAACACAAAAAAAAGTGTGATATGTTGTTGAAATAGTAAATAAAATAATGGCACATAATAAACAGTATTGTAAGGGCCATAATTAAATATCAGAATAATGATTTTCTGATTCTTTCATAAAAGATATTAATGGAGCAATCTATTAAATCTAAGAATAAATAAATAAACCCAAAAATAGAAATAATGGTAATAAGTGAGACCATATGTTACAAGTCTCATTATGTTTATGAAACATACTTTCTATATAAAATCATATTTTATTTACTTAATGCAAGACCCACAGTATTGTAATTAATTCGATAACCTGTTAATAAGTATTTATTATCTAAAGTATATTAAGGTGCTTCATTATATTCTCCAATATAGGGACATTGTTTGTGAGTATCATATGATTGTTATGTTGCTTTATTAATTTTGTTTAATTTCCTTCTGTTGATTAGACTCATATATTTTATGTATAATTATACTAAAATTATGTATAAAATCAGATAATAATATGATCATCATCACTATCTTCTTATTGAATATATTCAGTCATTCTTAGTACAGCAAGTCTATTGCTAATTATTTCTAAACGACTATGAAGAGTTGGAGCATTTTATTATGATTAGTACATTTCATTTGGTGTTAAAGTTACAGGAACTTAAAAAAGCAATTATTATTAATTATTATTATTGACTCTTTATGTTTTTGATCCCATAATAGCTAAATGAGGTGCCAAATCTGTCATCATTCTACCCATTCTATCAAATATTGGTGCTAATTATGATCCAATTAAACTAGATTTAATTTCATATTCATTTAGTTCTTTTTCTTTTTTCATCATTTCTTAAATGTTCTATTCAGTATTTATTTCTTTATTTTTATTCATTAACATTTATTAGTATTGTTATTATAATTATATCTATTTTTCAGCAATTCTTTTGTTGTTTTCAAATCTTCCAAATTCTATTAATAATTAAGTAACTTAATTCATCATATGTCCAACATCAAAAATGAATTTGTGCATATCAATCTCTTATTTTTCTACTTCACAATCAGGATCACTAACAGGATTAGGAGATAAAAATTCTTAGTTAATACTACCTACAGTATAAGTTCGAAAAGTAGCTATTCTTGGAGATTATGTATCAATCCATTCATCCCATCTATTACCCCAACCATTATAATGAACAAAAACTCTATTCTATTCCACTATTTATACTTATGCTTCAAGCTAAAATAAATTTATAAAATATATTATACCCACTAATCAATCGTATCTTTTACATCAATCCATTATCCAACTTAAAATTTCCTTTTCTTTGGATCAAATGGGTTTAAATATTCACCTAGAAATATAATTATAATTATCTACCTTATAAATCTTCTTGCTTTAGTTCTTCAGGTTTCACTTAAGAATCTAATAACTATTTAAGGGTTTAGTAATTTTATCTTATACCCTCTAATGACAATTATTTATCTAAATTGAAACCTAATTAAAAATTATTGAATTTTTATACCATTACTCCTCTATTATTGAACCATTCTTCTTACATTCTATCGATTATATTAATGTTGCCCTAAAATATTAATTACTTTTACTTAATGTTCTTAGAATGTTACTTAAAATATCTATTTCAGGGAATTCATTAACACCTTATGTTTATTACTACTATTATTATTATTGAGTTTAATTCTAGACTAGTTAATCTTCTTATATTGGCTATCCTGGTAATAAAATGACATGATCATTTTATAACTATGTCAATTCATTTACTAAATACTTTATAATCTTATAAAGTTTTGTTGTTCTCTAAAACTCTCCCTTAGTAAATCAGTCTTTACTTATCAAAAGGAATGTTTAGTTGAGTTTAAATTACTTATTTCAATTATTATACTGTATTATTTGGATCTACAACTAATGAAGTGATTTGATTATCTAATGTTTTTATCTTTAATGTGATTTAAGTTTCCATTATTATATAAATTAATTATATAGAACTTATTCATATTTCTATAAATTCATATAAACAATATAAAAACCACAAATTTATTATCAGATATATACAAATATAAAATCAATTAAAATGGAATCTTAATCAAAATTAGAAAATTGATTTATATATATGATTTATCTAAAAATCAGACATATAAATTATTTAATTCTCATTTTTTATTTAAGTAAACTTAATTTTATTAGTTGTCTTTAGAATAATAAAATTATAAAAAATATCTAAATTTGATTAAGAATTATAGAGTTAATTGTAAAATAATGATTCTTTTTCTAAATTTAAGACTTTATTTTATTATAAATATTGTATATTAATAAAAAATTTAATTTAAATCATAAATATTTTAGATAATTGATAGTTTTGCTTTAAATACTCTATAAATTATGAAATATATGTATATAATAATTATTGATATAAAAATATATACATATTTACTAAAATCATTTAATACTATCAATAATTTATTTTTAAATTGCTTTAAATTTGTTACAACTTTTTAAAGCAATGATTTATTTACGAATTAATTTATAAATTATACTTACTTCTCTAAAACTAAATTTATTTTTATAATGCTTTAATTTGTCTTTAATTATAATCAAATATGTCAATATCTTCATGTAATTTTTTCAATTTAATCGAATTACTTATCAACATTTCTTTTATCTAATCAAATTGAGATTTCTCATCTATAACATTAATTTCCTTTAAATAATTAATTTAAATACATCTAATAAATTATCTGATGATGATTTGATAAATGCTTAATCAATATCTATAGATTTTGAATGTAATCTTTTAATAGTTGGTTTCTGATGTGAAATATTTGTACTCTAAGTAATAGTTTTAGTATGTCTTCCTTTAGGTTGAGTGTGAATTCTATTGTCTATCGACTCCTTATTCGATTCTAATAAAGACACATTATTAGATGGTGAGATTAATGCTCTCCAAGTTGTCATATTTTTTATAAATTATTTATTTTACTCATTTTTTTAAATGCTCTTATGCTCCACTAACAATATAAGCAATACAGCTAATCAACTTCTTAGTATAAGGCAAATCTAAGCATTCATTTGGTCCATGTTCATTTGAATTAGGACCTAAGACTCCTGTAATTATAAATTGTGCTTTTGGAAATTATTATTACAGTGTGTTCATTAAAGGAATAGACCCTCCTTCACCAAAAGTAACTGATTCTTTTCCATAAAATATGTTAGATGCATCATTAATAAGTTAATCAAGATAAGGTTTATTATCTAAAGCATTAAAACCTGCTCCTGAATTGAGTCCTTCAATTTTTATGGTAGCACCATATGGAACATTAGTTGTTAACTAAATTAAATAGAATATATTACAATTCTCACAAAGGATTCTTCAGCTTCTTTTGGATCCTTAGTAGGAGGTAGTCTAACTGATAATTTTAAAGTGGTTTCAGGTCTCAATACATTACCAGCAGTTTATGCAGTAGGAAGTCCATCAGCCCCAACAATAGCAAGTTAAGCTTTCCATACTTTGTTAATATATGTTTTGAAAGTATCAAGAGAGACTGGTTATGTATTTCCATGTAAAGGAAACTTATTGATTAATCCTTCTGAAAAAACAGCAGCTGTTTTTTATGCTTAAATATATCTTTCTCCTGGAATTGTCACTTGAAAATCATCAACTACTTCTCCTGTTTTAGGATCATCAATTCTATTTAATAATTATCTGAAAATTCTGAATGAAGATGGTACTACTCCTGATGCATCACCAGAATGCACTCCTTCATTTAATACTTAAACTGTAACATTTGCTCCTACTAATCCTCTTAATGTTGTAGTTGACCAGAATTAATCATAATTACCACAACCTGAATCTAAACATACAATTAAATCAACATTTCCTATTCTATCTTTTAATTTATTTAAATAATGTTCTATATGATCTGATCCACTCTCTTCATCAGCTTCAAATATCATTACTACTCTAGGATGTTTTAATCCTAAATCTTAAATTGTTCTTATAGCAATTACAGATCCCAAAACGGAATATGAATCATCAGCTCCTCCTCTTGCATATAATTTATCATTTATAATTTTTGGATCATATGCTGATAATCCTTCTCTCCATCCTGTAAATGGTGGTTATTTATCCATATGACCATAAAATAAGACTGTTCCATCTGCTCCTCCATCTGAACCTTCAACTTCTACAAATAAGAAAGGAGATAGTCCTTCATCTGTAAATAATTCAATTTTAGCATCTATATTATATCTATAATGTACTTTTCAATTTTAAATTCTCAACCAATACTTAGAATAATTTGGCTGTTTATAATAGTAATCCATTAGTTAAATATTCAGGATCGAATTCTCTAGATTGACTAGGTACTCTAAGAATATCCATAAATAATGGTAATGAATCATCAAAGTGTTTATCTACTATTTCTTAGAATTAAAGTCTTTTGTTTGTTTACATTTAATCTTATTACATAAATTAAATTTATTTAAAAAGTGATCACAATTTTTTTATATATTAAATATTAGAATGATCTCATCTATTTGATTAGTGGATATAATTGATGAATTATGCTTTATAGTATTATTATCTTTGATTCTAAAAAACATATTTTAATGTCAAATTTGTAATTATAAACTGAAGAAAATTGTGATATAAGTTTATCATAAATTGAAAATATGTTAGACTAAAGTGAAATTGAGCCTTAGACTAAATGTAAAAACATTGAAACTAAATATTGTAACTAATTTAATTAATTCTAGGCATCAATAGTACTGTGATAAGCATAAGCAATTAAATTAAATTATTAGGTGATGATTTTAGTGAATTCAATATACCAAGTCATTATCTACCTCCAAATATTCAAGTAGGAAATGTATTTTAAGTAACTTTTTAAAGAAATAGATCAGAAGAAAACAAATTAAAAAATTAGATTGAATAAATCTAAAAGAGTGCTCTGAATGATTAATGATATATTAATCTCTAAGCATGTTAAACTACCACCAATTTATCTATTTATAATTCAATTCTATGATTTTCATATACCAAATATTGTTTTAAAAAGCTTAAAGACAATATTATCTCATAACTTCTGCACTCAAAAATCTATTCTAATTATAATTAATTCATCATAAGAAATTCTCTAAAATAACTAAAAATAACTTATACTCTCTTAAAACTTAAATATAATTTATAATTCATAAATCATAAATCATAACAAACATTTATTTATATTTACTACATCTTTCCCCACAATCTCTAATACCCTTTCTTATTTCTTAAACTTTTATTTTTCGAAATTTTAATTTAATTTACAAATACAAAAGTTATTATGTAGTCTATTCCTACTATTTATTATTATCAGGATATGGATTTTTAAATCAATTTAATATATTAACGTATAACATCTTCAATACTTAAGTATAATTAAAAAAATAGATATTTTTATCTATGAGTAGAAAATTCTAAAATCTATTAAATACTTTACCTTAAAAAATTTTTGATCATTTACATTTCATTCAAATCCTTAAAGAACTTTAGTTTAGACATATTTTTATATCTAAAATAATTACAATTAAATAATATGGATATCATAGACAATTGTATTTACATCTATTCCATTTTATTAATATTCAATTTTCACTATTTTTTTCAACTTTTATATGATATTTTTAACCATACTCTAATCTTAATTTAATTGCTTATCTTCCTTTAGTAGAAATACCTTATTGTTCTTAAATTACAGTATAATGGATTTATTATAGAGGTAATCAATAAACTTTAAATCTGGTTTTAAACCATAAACCCATAATACATCATATACATAATCTGTGACTTTTTCATCATTTGAGAATACTTTGACAAAATTGTTAACATGCATCATTTTTTAGAGTAATTATACCTTTCTTGATTTAAAATTTATAATTATTTAAGATTAATTTTCAATTAGATTAAGCATAAAAAATTAATTATCTTATTTAATTTAACCTTATAATATTAGAATTTATAAATTTCCTTTATGATCTAATTATGTTAACAAGATTGCTAAATACATGGTAACCTCATCTTCAATTCCAAAAAAATAAATTTAAAAAATTTATTCTTAATCTGATTTGTTAGACAGAATAGCTTAAACATCAATCAAACAAAAATTGGTAGTTTTGAAGCCTCCTTTTTAACTTTTTAATTGTTGACAAAAAGTATATTAAAGCAATGCGTTATGTAAGAAATAAAAAGGAATTAAATTATAATTATATTTTAATAGATAATATTTGATTAATTTCTGACTAAAGTGATCTATATTTTTATAATTTACATGATTTTATTCTTATATAATTTTTAGAATTCTTTTAAATAAATCTGATTTAAGTAAATGTAAAATATGAAAGATTAATTTAAACGATATCTTTTATATGTAATCATCCTATAATGTAATATTGGAAGTAAAAATGACAATATACTAAATAATTTGAATTAAAATATCAAACTTTGAGATTATTTGAATTAAAGGAATTATAAAAAACAATTATTTTGAAAAAATTTTGATTGTTTTAAAATAATGTATTGTTGTATTTAAGAATAAAAAATTTTAAATAACAATTGTGATAATGTAAATATATATATTAATCATTATTCAGTTTTGAGTCTTCTTGAACATTTCATTTCATTATAAAAGAGACTTTTTGGTTACTCTATATGAGTTTTTTATGATGTCTTTTAGGATCTGTCAGTTTTTGGTGATTCACTTGTTTTAACTGATTCTTCTGTGTCCATGTCCTCATGCTATATACACTTCACCTTTTTAATTTTATTAGTAAATGTTAGAGTATGAGTTTCAAAATGAGGAGAAATCTACATATAATACTCATCTTTAGATTTCTGTAAATTTTAGTGTTTTTTAGAGCCTGGTATAGTATAGAGACTTAGATTAACAGACTTTACCATTTTTTTATCTTTTTGATCAACAAGAAGTTTAGAGTTTTTCATATGTGTTCTATAAATAAATGATTAATCAGGTAATTAATTGATATTATGATAATAATCAACTTATTAAATATAATGGATTAGGAAAATTAGAGATTATTTGTTGTATTAAAATATTTGAATAATAATAATTTATAGAACTTATTAATAAACATTTTATTTTTGATTTCATATCTAAAAGTTTATTATTATTAATATAAATAATAAATATGGCACTTGTGCTTAAATAATTAGGTGGATTCAGCAGAATGAATGCTCAATGTCCAACTTACAAATAGTAAATTATATATAAGCTAGATTTTTAGTATTTGTGCTGGTCTGAGTGGTGGATCATTACTATATGGATTTTATGCCTAAGTTCAAAAATAATGGAGAGAATAAGAAATTTAATTCAGAAAGGAATAACTCAAGAAACCAATTTATGAGCTCAGAGATGAAGAGCTTGTTAGTCCACCATGGAATAGTTCAAATTTAAATGAGTGGTTATACAGAAGAGTTAGAGTAAAGGGAAGACCACTCCATTACTTATAGATGATGGTGCCAAGAACAGAATTTTATAAGCCAGGATATGAATGTGTTGTTCCATTTGTTACAAAGGAAGATGCAGATCAAACAGTATAGGAAGGAGTAACATAAAATATTTAATAATAGCTTCTTGTATCTTTAGGATTTGTGCCTTATGAATATAAGGAAATACCAGACAGACATAAATTAGAAGATGCTTCAGTATAATCATTTGATTGTTTCCTATCCTAATTACCTGAATTATAAGACAATTCATTTGGAAATGTGGCTAATCGCAGAAATTCATAATGGAATTATGCAGACCTCCAATTAATGGCCTAATTTACTGGATTTAAGAATGCAGATAAGATTGGTAAGGTTGTTTTGGAGAGAGCTAACTTCAATACTCCTTTGGATGAAAGAAATATGAGGTATAACTTTATGTTTAAGACCTCTTTAGAACTTATGATTTGGATGCTGATCATCACTTAGATTATCCATATTTGAAGAGTAATTCTGGTATCTTATATCATAAAAACCATATGCCTTGGGATTGGTAGAGAACCAAATAATAAGCATTGGGCTCAACTGTGTTCTTTGGAACTTTGGGTGCATTATTACATTTAGCAAAATGAAATTTATATTAATAAGATAAAGATTATTATTGAAAGAATGACTCCTATTAAAGAAGTCTTGCAATTTTTAGATGAATGGATAATCCTAAAATTGTATATCATTTTCTTGTGATTGGTTTGTTCATAATTCTAGTTACATCACTTCTAATATGTCTAAATTATCCAGGATCTGTATATTTAGGATGTAGAGTGTAAACACCATCTACATATTTTAATTATATACCTCCTAAAGGTAAACTTGTAGCTATGTCATATGGATGAACTTAATAAGCAGTTTTCTTATAATTCTAAATACTACTAGATCTCAAATTATTTTAAGCAGTTTTTAATCCAGAATCTCCACAATGAACCCATTATCTTTATACTTCAGTATTTTCTTTTGGATCAACAGCTATTTAATATAATTATGAATTATACAATCTCTATATTTTTCACCTGTAATTACAGAAGTCATTTTCAATCCTTAATCAAAAGGATCTCTTTCTCTACATCCAGCAGCTATAGGTTTTACTTTTTTATCTGTTAAAATTTCTTTGACATTATTTTCAGGAAGTTGAAATGATTATTAGTAAGTAGTAATTGAATAAAATTTATTATGCTATTCTGGATGATTTCTGAATGTTGATCCAAAGTCTGTATAATTCTAATGAACAGCTCTATCAACCAAAATTTATTGCATATTTGTTTAATCTAATTGTTTTATTGATCTTGCTCCTGCTGTTTATGCAACTGTTGGATTACATTCAGGAAAATTTACTTTTTCTCCATTTGTTTTTACAAGGGCTCTACAATCACCTAATTACATATTCTAAATATTCTTTGCATCAAATTTTGTTTAGAATTCTGTTCTGAATTCTCTCTAATATATTATTAATATAATCATACATATCCATCATCTGGAACTATTATTTCTTTTGTAATGTAAGGAGGATTACGATTCACTCTAGGTAATGGAAGTAAGCATCCATTATCACCAGGTATGGATATTCCCTCTTCAACAGTTCTTAACTAGTTATATTTTTATTAAATACAGATTTTTAAGCATTTGGATCTCTCTATAATTATTAAGGAGCCAATCTATCTTCGTACCAATTAGCTAAAATTAATAATATAAAATACCCATTAAAGCTGTTTTGCTATACTCTACTTCATTTGGTCTTCTCATTTAATAATTTTATTAATTTATTTAAAATGTAAAATAGTTTGATGAAACTACATAATCTTCTTAAACAACTAAAGATTATGTATATTTAAGGAATATAAAAATTAAAAAATGAAAGAATATTATTTATATTAGATTTTCTCATTTCTTCTTCTTCTTCTTTTTTTTTCCTATTTCAATTTTATGTATTTCTCTCATTTAAGTCTTAAATTCTAGTAAATCATTTGAAGGAATGAATTTGGGTGGGGGTAATAATATCATAATTTCATTAAATTTATTAACTTAAGCCCAATAAGAAGCATTGAATCCATTTTCATCTCTTAAATTAATATCAACTCCATAATTAAGTAATAACACAACTATTTATTTAAATCCTAATCTAGCTGCATAATGTAAACAAGTAAGACCTCTTTTATCTTATAAACTTGGATTTGCTCCATAATCTAAAAGTAACTAACATAATTTAAATTAATTTTTTTCAACTGCATAATGTAAAGCAGTCTTTTCTCCTACATCATAATATTCTTTTAAGTTTGGATTTGCTTTAAATTTCAATAAAAGTTCTGTAATCTAAGGATGATTAGCTTAAATTGCATAGATTAAAGGAGTTGCACCATTGATGTTACGAGCATCAACACTGGCTTCTTTATCTTCAATTAATGAAATAACTTCTTAAACATTTCCATGTGCTACTGCATGAAATAACAGTGGATCTCCTTTAAATTGGGGCATAGAAATTGGATTCATTTCTAAATTATTATTATTATAATAATAAATTTCATAAAACAGCTAATTCTTATGTAAACTACTCAGTTAATGTACCTTCATAAAATGTTCCAATTAATAATTATTTTTCTTCTTGATTACTAAAATCAGTTTTCTTTATAATATTATCTTGAATCCAGAACTTAAAATAATTAATTCAAAAAATTACTGTAATTGCATTCATAATAAATGGAATAATGATCATAACACATACTAAAAGCAATTCAGGATTTGTTATGGGAGATAAAAGAAAATTACCTGCCTCATTTAATTAATCAGCAATAAGTTCTTGGAATCCAAATAATATAAATTTAGACACAATTACAACTGAATTCCATACAAATAATTGACATCCATACATTTACCAATCAATTCTTACTTTTTCTTAGATTTTGAAATAATTACCACTTTGTAATTTCTGAATAATTAATATTTGTATATACTCTCATATCAAAAAAGTTAAATATCATATTTAATGATTTCATGAGCAAAAAGATTAATAGCACACCCATTGTTGAATCCAACATAAATGTAATAAAATACCAGATGCAAGCATTCTCATCTGTTTCTGCAGATAATTCTGTTGCTAATATTACATTCAAAATATGAGCTAATAATGCTGATAGTAATTGTTTAGATGAATCCTTATTTTTAAATTTTACATTTAAATACCATTAAAAATATTTTCCAAACTCTTTTAGGTCTTTCAAAATATCTTTTTACTATAACTCAACTTATTATAATACTTATTAATACTGTAAATGAAAGTACTCCTAAGCTTGCCTATACTAAATATCCTTTCCAATCTAAAATTTCACATTACATTTTAAAAAAATAATAAATAAATAAATAAATATAAATGTTTATCAGATTTAATCATATTTTATATCTTCACATGTAGATTGTTCACTTATATCATGATTTTTCTTATTCTTTGTTCTTTCTGCTCTCCATGTTTTAATAATTTACATTAACAATATTGAACCCATAATATTATCTTCTAATACATATATCTAAATTCTCTTTAAAAAAATACCATATATGAGAAATCTGCATTATCATTAAATAAAGTAAATAGTCTTGCTATGCTACCTGCAGAGTTTTACAATTATGTAAGTAATGATAATTAACCTGTATTTCTATTTTAACAATTTAATCTTATTTATAAAAATCTGGCCATAAATACTATCATTTTCATTAAATTAACAATTTACACAAACTCATATTAATGTAAATAGTCATATCAAAGATCCATTAAGGTCCAAGGCCAATGTATAGAGGTGTATTGATAAGTATGAAAAAAACTGCTTTAAAGAGCCATTAATGAAAATTCAAATTTTTATCGTAAAAAATGAATAAACTTAAGACTATACTATATTCCAGACCTACAATTGCATTTTCACCATATAAAATAAATTTTGTCTATTTATATAGATTATAAGCTGTTATAAATGAAAGTAGGTATAACTATTTTTAAGTAATTTTTATACTTCTGTGTAATAAGCATTAAATGAGATTCCCTATATTGATTAAGATTTCCAAATTTTATGAATTTAAGGTAATTGATTCATGATAGCAAATGCCACCATTAAAATGCTAATTGTTCTGCTAATTGTCTAATTTTTATTTATGATATACATCAGAAATGCAGTCACTACTAACTTCCGCATTTCCAAAAAACTAATCATAACATAATTCAGAGAATATTATAAGTTTATATTCTTCTTTTGAATGATCATTTGTCTAAGCGTTCAAGGAAACTGAAAATGAAAATAAAAGCATAACAACTAACATTGTATTGAAAATGATTATTTTATTTAATGAATTTAAACAAATTTCATATCTTCCAATGATTAATAATAATATTATTAATTATTTATTCATAAATATTTTATTAAAACCATAACTATTTTTATGCTTTTTATATTTTAAGATAAAAATAGTTTATCAATCCAATAAAATATGAAATACTAAGTTATATTAATTTTGAATTAACAAAATTAATTATATTTTTGCTTGAAATAGTAATTATAATTTTATTTTATATTTAAAAAATAAGAATATTAATTAATATTGATTCCAATAATTTGAATACAAATTCATGTATAAAAAAATAAATAAATAAATAAACTTCACAGTTTCATTTCTTAAAAGTTGGTGAACAATATTTATCATTAAGATCAAATGATTAATCTCTTTTTAATAGCTATGTATAATAGTTATTTGTTTTTAATTAATTTTCATTTACTTTATTTAATATTTCTAAGAATTTACTAGGTTGACTATTTGATCTTTATTTATCAGGAGTTTAAGTTGTAGAGTATGTAATTTAAATTGATTAAGGAGATGTACCCCTTTAAGTAGATTATATTTATTATTGATCATTCTTTAATAATGTAGTCTAAACTATTTTAATTTCTAATTCACAATCATCAAACAAACCTCCAAGTACTTTATTTTCATTCACTTTTTTATAAACTCTGCCTAGATGTACATGAGAACTTTCAAGCTTTTATAATTATAACTATATATCTTAGACTCTCTTATTGTATTATCCCATAATTTATTTATAAGGTAGACATTCAATTTGCATTATTATATTATCAAGGTTAACTTCGATGTCACTATACATTTAAACTAATTCATTGTGATTATCTTTGATTTCTTATTATTTTAAATCAAATATTTCAACTGCTTTTAATTACAATTCATTCAAATAATCTATCTATTCTTTTAACTTATTATCTAATGCTATGACCATTTGATGATAGTGTTCTTTAACTTTATCCTTTTACTTTTCACAAAATCTAACTAAGTCATACTTTTTTTCATTTAATTATTATCCATTTTAATCAATAATCAAAAAGGTTTATGATATAGTTTCTAAAAATTATTGAATTTATTCTTGTCTCATAGATGTTTAATCACTTTAAATATCCTCTATCTTTATTCATCAAATAAAATACTTTATAACCTTAACTTATAAGTACAATTGCACATTTTGAACAGATCAAATCAGTCAAATTAAATTTAGGTTTAGCAAAAGGTACTCCAATCACTTTATATTTTGCCTATTTTGAATAATTTCATAAAATTATACTTTTTTATTAGTATGTGCTTTGCAAGTAAGTTCAGGTAAATTAATTACTTCATTTTCTTTATTCATCTAATTAACGATTTAAATTATATATTAATTCAAGATTAAACTTTGACTACAATCTATAAAAATACTTACAGATTTTGAGAATAGAATCTAATAAAAAATATATTTTTGAAAATAGAGTAATAAAAATATCTTAACAAATATTAAGATTAGAGTATCTAAGAATTTAATATAAGTAAATTGAGAAATTCATTGAATTTTATAATTTAATATATTCAGATTTACATGATACAGAATATCAATATTATAAATAATTATGATAACAATATTTTAAGAAATTAAATACAATAATTTATATATAAAGAAGATAAATATATCTAGAATATAATTATATATAATCTCTGATTTTAGTAATAAGAATTTATATTTAAGTATGATATTTTAAATATTTTACAAATGTAATATACTATTAATGTTTAAAAATAATATATGAAAATTACTTATAGTGAGTTAAATTGAATTCATATTAAATATAGATATTTATAATTCATTTTCCATTTTTATTCATCCAATATATCGATTTTTGATTTCTTGGTGTAAATTATTCTTATGAAGGTGTGGGGTAATATTAATTAGAATACACTTGACCAAGACTTTCTTGACTAAAATTATTGTTATATCTTGATCTCAATTACATTACAAATGAGTTTTATCTATCATATTATTGAAAAGAAGATCTTTCATTTATAATAAATTAATCTTATTAAATCTAAGATTAATTCATTTAATTGTATTATTAATTATCTTTCTACATATATCTTGAAAATTGTAATGATGATCCTATTGGTTAATTTAAATATTATTAATCTATTTATTATTATTAACCTTAATATTATGATTGCTGAGATAATTATTATATTTATTGTGATTATTGTTCTATTTTTTATTATGATTCTAATTCTTATTTCTGTATAGTTGTAGTTTTTCTTACCATCAACTTCTTTTATCTCTTTACCTTCTTAGTTATTGGCAATTCTTCATCTTTTTAATATGCAGGTGCCATTTCTAAAATCTATTCAACTATAAAATTATAATTGATTTAATTTTCTTCCAATGGTTCTTCTAGCTTTGTCATTTCCATATATTTTTGATTGACTATATATAATGTCAATTATTAAGAGACATTTATAAATGCAGGTTCAATTCTTTTAAATAACTCACAAAACTTTTCTTCCTTTATAAATTCTCCTATTTTATCAAATTTTTAATTATTTCTCATTAATTTTATAGTATAAAATGCTGATAATGTTACAAATAGTAACTCTCTCTTATATAATGAAATATCAGGTATAAATTCTGCCTATATTTTAAGAAAATCTTTAAAATAATTAAATGCGCATGTTCTATTCTAAATAATATCAATACTTAATCTCTTATGAGTAGTTTGGCTGTAATTTTTTACCATAGTCAAATTACAAATTCAATAAATGCCAATATACTAATTCTAATTCATTGAACTCCATCATTTTGCATAATCCTAAATGCATTTTGTATCGATAACTTTATTCATTTCTAGTCATCACTCGAAGGAGATGGTTCAAAATAAATGAAAATTCTAAAATGATAGTCAGACATTTTCATATACATTTATATAATAAAGAGTTTGATAACTCATCTTAATCTAATTATTTGATTTTGATACCAAGGTCTTATGTTTTATGAATAAATACCATTATTGATTGTTTCTTGATTTTCTTCTAGTTTTTAAGCTTATTTTAATGAGTTCATTAAATTCAGAAATTAAAACTTGATTATCGGGTTATAATTAAACACAATATTATTTAATAATAAATATCTATGTTGTTAATTATGAGTATATAGCTCTGGATTACATTAAACACTTAAAATAAATTAACAAATATAAGTACTCATCTTAAATATAGAAAATATTAATTCTTAAATAAATCAAATATTCATATTAACATTTTTTATTGTTTAGATTTCTCTTAATTACATTATCAAACATGTTTTTAATAATTTCAAAATTTCATTTAATTCTGTCTTTAAACAATCTATCATTATATAAAAAAATAGATCGCTATCAAAAAAATAAAAAAGAAATATTAAAAGTAAATATTTAAAACCCTTAAATAATATTTAATTTATATTATTAATAATTAAAAAAAATTATCTAATTCTATTAGATGGAAAAAAAGTTTGTGAAGCAAAATGGAATTTACTGTGAAGATGATTAACATTTTCATAGAGGACAGAAAATAAAATATCTTATGATAAAAAAAGATAAGGGTTCTATTACTAAAAGATTATTTTGTGATGAATGTTACTTAGGAAAATATAAATCATATTAATAATATTGTTGTGATATCTAAGAGGTTAATACTATTTATTTAAATTAGTTGATCAATGGTAACATATATGAAGCTTTCAAATATACAAAATTTGATAGTGAAACTAAATAATAATATTTCAATTATATTAGAAATCACAATCCCTATTTAAATGAGTAATTTATTAATGATGTATAATATTTAAATATGTAGATGATTGATAGGCTTACTGAAGAAGTTTTATCAGATATCAAAGACCTCAAAGATAAGCTATTAGAAAACATTAGTTTATATCTAAATGAAATAAAAAAGTGGGTTGAAAATGAGAAGATTATTAATTATTTTGAATGTGATGATTTGAAAGTAAAATTCCTGGATGAAAATTTTTAAAGAAGTCCCTTAAAATTTGAAGCATTAAATAGTTCTGCTGAAGAATATGTAAAAAAAATTAATGATGATAAATTAACAATAGATGTAGAAACAATTATTAAAGAATAATAGAAATTGTAAATATATATCATTATCTTATTAGTTTTAATTTAGATAAATTCAATCTTAATTATAAAGAAATAATACAATAAATAAAAAATATGCAAGAAAAAACATTTTCAGATTATAAATTCTCTTAATCCATTTTAGCCAATCCTTATATTGAAAGGATTGCTCAAAAAATTTCACCAGAAACAGAAGAAACATTTATTAAGAGTTTAAATCTAATTTATAGAATGACTAAACATGGATCAAATTATCAAACTTTATAATAAATCCCTAATTTAGATAGTCAAGATACAATTACTATTATTTAAACAAAAAATAAATGCATTTTCGGAGTCTATCATTGTAAATCAGAGCCAAAAAAATCAATACTATTTTAAATGAACAAAGAAAAATATTTTTTAATTAAAGAGAGTAAAGCAGCCTTTCAATTAAATTTAAACGCTAATTTATAAACTTGGCTTCTGAATTTTGGAGAAGGTGATATTATTATCAATTCTACATTTACTAGATGTACATCGAATTTAGGAACAGGATTTGATATAAGTGGATTTAAGATCTTTGATAACCAAGAATATCTATCAGATTGCAAATTATTTGATATATATGATATGGAAATATTTGCAGTGCAAAATAAAGAAAAAATAAATATTAATCAAAATCCTGTGAGAACGACTTAGATTAATAATCCTTAGATTAATAATCCTATATTTAATAATCCTTAGATAAATAATCCTTAGATTAATAATCCTTTTAATAATCCTTAGAATAATAATCCTTAGATAAATAGTCCTTTTTTGCCTACACTTTAAAAAAAATGAAATAATCATCATAAAATTTATACAGTATATTTATATATATATAATTTCACAATTATTTTATGAAGTTTTAAACATCTGATTTATCAATTGAATTAAATGGTAATTCAACAAATTTAATAAGCTATATTTATTAATTTTTCAGATTATTTTGAATTAATATTTTATTTTTTATTTGATTGATAAAAAAGTTTGTATTAAATTCAACTTCGAATTCTTAAAAATCATAAGGCTCTATACAAATAATTACTTCATTTTCTGATTCTATCAAATCAAAATACTAGATTTCAAATTATTTTTTTTAATTCAAAAATAATATAAACAATTAAATTAAAAAGATATTAATTTAACAATAATAAGAGTTGATATACACCTCATAATTTGATTTTAGTTTAAATTTCCATCCATATTATTTGAATAAATTAATGCATTACTAAAATCGTTTTGTAAGATTAATCCTTTTTATTTATTGACTGTTAAGTAAAATTAATGATAAAACTCCAAGTCTAAAGGAATTTTAAAATTCTGAGTCAGTTTTCTAAAATATTTTGACTGTTTTAAACATTTCTTCTTTAGCTTGTTTAATATATTTTTTTAATTTAGAATCTTTAGTATAATTATTAAGATTCACTAAAATTATTAAATATTTTTAAGTTTCAACTCCTAAGTTAATAAATTTAAGTTTTTATTGATAATTTTTAAATAAGTTGATTTCAAAAGTATTTTCAAAATTTTTCATATCACACTTGAATAAATAAGATTCTAAATTCTAATTTTCTTAAACTAAAGTAGACCTTAAGAATTATCGAAAATTACATCCTTCACAATAATTTGGATTATAATTAGGAAATATATTCATTTTATTTGATTAAATTAAATCAAATTTAAGTTCTTCATTAATAAATTTGAATTAACAAAATGGAGAATTAATTAAATTTATTAATTAATTATCCCATTAATCCTCTTTTACTCTAAGTAAGAAATGTTTTCTTGAATTCTAATCGCATTTATACAATACTACAAATTAAAAAGTTATAGCAAATATAGTTAATAAGTAATCTTAAAAATCAACATAATTTGTTGTTATTGATGTAATTGTTAATCTTATTGAACAGTGAGATATAACTTATATACAAGCATCAGGAAAGTCACTTAAAAAGTAGAGTACTGATTGTAATGAAGTGACAAGACAACCAAAATTATAATAATCTTATTACTTTGCATCATTTGGATCTAAATTAAGTTAAAGTAGAGCAGTCATAATACTGCACGATGTAATAAAAAGTCTGAGATATTTCTCATTAAATTTAACTAAAAGAACTCCAATAAATACTACAGCTATGTTTGCAGAGTTAACATACAATTAATCATATTTATTTTTTGAGAGATCAACTGCTATTTTCAAGACATTCAAAATCAAACTGACAGGAGTCATAGTGTAAAAGACTTTTCTTAGAATTTCTTTTCTTCTAAATTCTTAATATTAAGTTTCTATTTTGCTATCATTAAATTTCAATGTGTATTTATTCATGTAATTTCAATTAAATAAAAAATTGTTCAATTTTATATTGATTCACTTAAATTAAGAAACAATTATATCAAATTTAAACTCAATAATCAATTATTTTTTACAATGGAAAATACTTATGAGTTGGTAGGATCAATTTATAAATAGTTATTTAAAACAAAATATACAAAAAAATAGAAATTAAATTTAAAATCATTATTATTAACTAAGGTTATGAATTTAGATTATACTAAAATATAAGACAATGTAAATAAATATAGATATGGTGTCAAAATAGGTAATTATAATGAAGAAACTTTTGGTATGGATATAAAACAAGTAATAAAAAAATATCTATTATTGAAATAGAATACTCATAAAATTCCTAATAGCACTATGAAAGATAGTTTTGGTTTGTAAAACACACTACTAAACATGCCTTAACAAAAATAAACTGAAGCTGAAAAAGAATATTATGAATAAACTACTTTTAATCATAATGGTTTACAAAATCATTTATTGTTAGGACATGGCTAATAATCAAATGTATTGATAAAATTATATAAGAATAGTTTGAAAATAGATAATTAACCTCTACTTATGATTTATCATACAATTAATAAGTTAAACCATAAGTATAAATATACTCAAAATATGAACCAAATAAGACATAGTTTTACTAGAAGTCAAAATAGGAAGAAGTAGCTGATAAAGTATAACATATTGTACCTGATATTAAATAGACTACTAATTAATAAAGATTAGTTAAAAAAAAAGAATTCACTAATACTTTTAATGATAATTATAAAAAAATTCCTTTAAGAAAATGATAATAATATTATATTAATAATAACAAAAATGATGTATTAATAAATAAATATATAAGTGTATAATAAATAATTAAAGAATTTAATATAAAATTATATCATTTTATGGATTGTCTAAAAGCTTTCTGTGAAATATGTTGTAATGATGAAAATTAAATAGTGGAAATGGATTGCAAACATAAAATATGCTTAGAATGTTTCAAAATTGCAGTTGTACCAAAAGAATTATGTCCATTTTGTAAATAAATTGTGAATCAAATTTTGGTAGAGAATAAGATCTTAAATATAACAGAATTTGAAAAACCAAAAGAAAAGGAAAAAAATTTTGTATTAAAATTATATCTAAAAATAGTTTGAAGAATCTCATTTTGAATTGGTTAATGAAGAATTTTTTGATGAAGACATAAGAATTTTAATAATTAATTTAAATAGAGCTAATCAATTTATGATGCGAACGATTCGTTAAACTGATTCTTAATTTAATTTAAAATGGTTTATTTATGATCAAATATCTGAGTAGATAATAAATTTAAAATTTACAAATAGTTTGGAAATGTTTTAATAAGTATTTTGATTTATGATTATTAGATTAATAATCTCAATATTTGTTTGAATTTGATTTAATCTAATAATTGGGATAAAGAATAATTTCAGAATTATAAAGATGCTTACAATATTTAAAATATGGAAGATAATTATTAATTTATACTTTAGAATAAAACTAAGAAGAATAAGAAAAGAAAATAAAAACAATGATAAGTTAATTATAAATAATTTTACTTTTAATAATTTATAATAATAATAAACACACTAAATATGTAGTCTGAATCAGATATGTCAGAATATGATGAAAAGAAGTTTGTTTTACCAAAATCAACAAAAGATCTAAAAGCTTGTTAGTAATGTGGAATGGTATTAACAGTTGAATAATGGAATAGAGAAGTGGAGTGTCCAAATTCTTGCAATGCTTCATAAACTAAATTATTTTCAGGGTAAAAATTAGTTATAAATTAAATATAGTATGATTTGTGTTTTGAAACCATCATAAAGTTGGGTAATGAGAAAATTAGGAAATCCAAAAAACATTCATCCAGGATTATATGCTATAGATGTTTAGGCAGATTGAAAATAAAGATATATAAAATAGATAATATTGTACTTATGCTTAAAATAAATTGTTTTCATTCCTCTTTATTTGGTTTTACTCTCTTGGCATTCTTTCTCTTTCTTCTTCCTTCTCTTCCTTATCCAAATGGTGATGTGACAGCAAAATCAACAAGTTTTTCAGATTCTACTCTGACTAAAAATGATGGAGAATTGACTAATCTCTTTCCAACTCTATATATATATTTAATGATTTATTTTACCTAAAATGTCGCTATCTAATCAAAGTTCTGGCATGATGAATTGAGGATGCTTAATTACTTTTAAATACGAAAGTTTAGAGTCTTCTTTCCATCATTTTTTATGTTGTGAGACCCAAGACATAATCCAACTTTCTTTCTTATTCTGACAATAAACCAAAACGAACCATTCTTCTAATTAAAGCTTCTCCTTCAAATAATCTTCTTGGGTCTTTTGGATCAAGAGTTAATAATTCTCTTGCTGCCTTTCTAATTCTAGCTAATGTGAGTTGAACTCTCCATACTTCTCTCTTGTTCTTGAGTCCATACTTACCAATAATTTGTAATCTAAAATTAATTTTATTTAATTACTCGTTGTCAAGACGTTCCTTTTCAAAGGGTTTTCTTGGTGTATCAGATGTCTTTGATCTATTTCTATAATTCTTTCCCATAATAAAAAAGATTTAAATATATTTTAAATTTATTCACAATTAAATAAATCTCTCTGCTCTTATTCACTAATAACTAGAATTCATTTCATATTTTATTTTTTTTATAAGACATGCAAATAAATTATTTTAATGTATATAATAATTGCATCTGCCATTATTCTTGCTATCAGTTTTACTATTCAACTAACAAAACTCAATCCAAAAAAAAAGTTATATATTCTAGATATATTTCTTATCTTTCTAGGTTCAATGGCAATATATAGTGAAACTACACATAAATTCGGTGATTTTACAGAGCAATTATAGGCTGCATTTTCAAAATAATATCCAATTGAATATTAATTAGATGAACTCATTCTTAAAAATCAAATATAAGATCATTCATTTCAGCTATTTTATGGGATGAAATAAGATGGAATTTCTACTTTCTTCAAATTCATCATAAACAAATCAATAAAGGAGAGTAAATAAGGCATCTATATTAATATCTAATCAGAAATACAAAATTAAGAACAAGCCTTATAATAATTTGGTACTAACAATTTTCATGAACTAATTCATTTTACATAATAAAAACCTACAATAATTACTGTTGATAATTTGCATTTATCACTTAGTAAAAAACAATGCTTTATTTGCTCAATATTAAGTAATCTCCATAAATTTAACACTACAACTATTCTAATTAGTGCAAAAGAATTACATAATTTAAATTATATGTTAGATGATTATATTACTAATGTCATGGAAATTAGAGAATTTAATAATGGAAAATAATTACATTTTAGATATGATTGGAATTAAGATTCTACTTCATAATATGTAAAGAAATATGATGGTATTTGTATCCAATTATTATTTAAGATATCGTTATATAGAAATAGAGAGAATTTGTAATAAATTTGAGTGAAACTGAAAAATAATTGATGGGTAATATTAGAAAGTTAATTTGTAAAATCAAATGTGAAAATTAAAAAGTAAAAATAGATGATTTGTAAAATTATTCAATTTATATTATAGAATCTATTAATATTAAGATTTGAAATAGATAGTTGAAAAAAATTATGTAATTGCTTAATTTGGATATGTGAAATTTTATAATAGTTTTATCTTTGAGTCATTGTAATATTTATGATAATATATTCAATTTATGACAAGAAAAATAAATACTACAAATTCTATTAATATTATTATCCAAAGACACCAATCATTAGTATATGAAAGTAATGTTTTCAATTTTGAATCAACCGCTTATATTTCATTTGTTGCTTATTCAACCTAAAATTTTCTATTTAAAATTCAATACATTGTTATTTAAGTTTATTAAAATTACTTTGTCTTCTTTTAAGGCTAAATTTATAGTTTTTGTATTGTTTGCAATTATATCTGTTGTTTATAACATATTATCTAAAATCTTATCTTATTCTTTCTTCAGAGTTTTTTGAATTTAAACCATCTCTGTATCAGATTTTTCACCATATTCCTTATTTGTTTATGTTGTAACCTATAAAAATGAATATCAATTTTACCATATTAAAAATTTATTTAACTTACAATGCTCTACTAAATTCATTAGATCTATTTTAAAATTCATCCAATTTATTTTTTTATCTTTATTATTCATTTTATGAACTCTATCAACATAAATAATTCTTACAGATTTTTCATTTTATATAATTATGTTCTCCCTTATTTTATTAATTCATTTATATTGTTTATTTATTATCCCAATTATCTGTCAATCTATTTTATTATTTTAATTACTAATTAAACTGATTCTTTTTAAAATAATCTTTGATTTCTCTAGTTTATTCCTTAGGCTATTATTGCATCAACTTTCTTTATCTCTTCTATGATATCTTAAAATTAAGATCCACCACTTAATGCTGTGTAGTTATTCATGTATTAATCAAAAATAATAATATTTAAAATATAGTTTTAATATTTTAATAGTCATAGCATAATGCAGATAATATATATTTTATAATAATTCTTGAATTATTAGTAATATTCTTAATATAATATTAAAACAACATTAATTTTACAAATGAATAGACCCCCATAAGGTTAAAATGACAGTCAATCAGATAATGGTAGTGTGAATAAGATAAGTGATAAATAGAAGATAAATACTTTAAAAAAAGCTGTTATTGATTTAAGAGAAGAAAAAGCATAATTCTTAAAGACTATATAAGAATTAACATAAAAGAATAATAATTTAACTTAAGAAAAGGCAGATCTAGTAATATTTTTAATTTATATTTAATTTAGGATGAAAAATACAATTCTGTGATTAGAGATTTGTAATAGTAAATTTAGGCTCTTAACAACAGCTAAGAGAAATAAAGAAATACACTTGTAAATTCAATAGGATCACCACGATCGCTTATTTAAAATGATCCATTAAATAATAATAGCAATTTTACAAAATAAATTAAGCAACTTTAACAGTATAGTTAATAAATATAATAAGAGAATTAAAATAGAAAACAGATGATCATGAAGCCCAACTTTCAATTCTATAGACAGGTTATAAAGAATTAGAGAGAGATTTGAAATACAAAGATAATTAGATTGATAAACTAACAAAAGAAATTGGAGATAAAAATACTATAATTTCATAATTAAGGAAAAATATTGAAGATATTGAAAAGGATTTGTATAATAGGATTAAAGACTTATCTACAGAAAAGTTATAGTTGTAATTAAAACTAAAAACAATTGAAAAGGAAATACAATAAAAAGAAGAAGAAACAAAAATAATATAAAAAGGATTAGATGATTCTAGATTTAAAACAGCTTAATTATTAAGTGAATTGGAAGAAACAAGAGGTAAATTCTTGTAATATAAACTTACACTTAACAATTAATTTTTAGATATTGAATGTTTATTTATTCTGCGATAAAATTTATTTTAAGAATACATTTTTGAGCTTGAAACTGCTGCCTAAAGATTTGTCTATAAAGCAAGTGATATTACAGACTTAAAAATTAAAGATGATCAATCATTTTATTTAACAGTTAAAGCTAGAAGTAGGGATGAAGTATATAAGTTGGGTCCAGGATAAGATATTAAAAAAGTGTGTAAATAAATAAAGTAAAGACCTTTTTTATTTTAGAAACTTTTTGTAAAGAGCATAATAGAGTCTTGCACTTTAATAATCTATCTAATTATAGAGTCCTAAGAATAATGGTTTACTTGGAGGACTAATATCAATATTTGGAAGTAATTCTTCAAAGAATGGAAGCAATGCTAATAGTGAAACAAAATAGAAATGAGATTTATGATTAATTTATTGCATTTTATGTAATTAAATCAGTTAATTAACACAAATATAAATAATATATAAGACTTAGGTATTTAAGCTAATTAAAATAAGTTAATATTTAATAATAATAATATAATTATATTATAATTAATGATGATAAAAATGGGAATCTCTCTGATTTCTTTGATGCACAATTTTAATATTATCTGATATTTTATATGATATTTCTCCTATAATTTATTATTAAAAAATGAATATAAACTAACATAAAACATATAATGATGTAAATATTGATGAATATGAATAAAATGGATGGAATTTCATATTTACTAAAGCTGGAATGTATAATACATCAGATTTGGATATGTTATAACATGCATTGAATTTGCAAGGTATTCCAGATATTACAAATGGTAATAATTGTGGATTGATCTACAATAAGCAATTTAACTTTGGATTTTTGGTGGATCCAAAAGATGCCTTATATTTATGTAATTATTAGGCAAGAGATTCTAATTACATTGATATTAAAAAAGAGTTAAAATCAAATAAACTAAATTACATTTCAATGATTCCAGAATAAGCTCAAATCAAATATGCTAATATTTGGAATCAAAAATAAAATGCAGATATCAAAATATTAAATAAAATATCTGATACATTTTATTCATCTCCTTATAAGGGAACGATAGTTGATGGAGATTAGATTAGTTATTAATTTTAAAGATTCAAGTAAATTTCAGGAATTAAGGGAAAATCAATTTTTGAATAATAATTGAATGAGAATTTAATAAAAAATGAAGTAGATTATCTGAATTAAGTATATAATACAAATTCGAAGACATTCCATTGTGAATATACAGAAGATGAGATTCCATTAAATAACTTAACACCTGTATTTGAATTATTTAAAATTAAAAGGAAAATCCAATAAAATGGGCAGCTCATATTTCATTATTTGAAGATGAATTAGGTGATAATGGATTATCAAATTGTGAATATAGATTTAGAATAATGGGTGATTGTTTTTTTGGATTGATACGAAATTATTTAAGAATTGATGATGTTTTAGTTAGAATACTTGATACAAGAATATATCATCAATTTAATTGGAATTATATTTTAAGAGACTTCACACATAGAGAAGATTCATGGGGTATAGTATTATTTATAGATTATAGCTAATATCTAAAAGAATGGATTTAATTTCACTCCTTAATGGTTGACAGATCAAAATTAATCATTTCTTATATAAAACTCAGTTCCAATCTAGTTGCATATTAATGATAAAATATATTTCAAAGTGTTATGATAATTAATATGTTAATATCTATATATTAAATTAATAATTATTATAAATAAAATGTCAGAAGGAAATACGGTTTTTTGGTAGCCATTCAAGACAACCAAAGAATTTATAGAAAAGGATTAGAAAATTACTAAAGGTTTAATGCAAGGAGCCATTTTTGCTGTGATTGGTTATGGAATTGGATTAGTGTTTTTTAGAGCTAGAACACTAAGAGGATTCACAGCTGGAACAGCAGCAACATGGCGATTTAGAGATCAAATTGAATGATGATTATAATATAGGATATATTTATGATTTTACAATAATAAAATAAAATTGAATTAGAATAAATGTTTATTAATAACCAGATTTATAATTAAATTAATTTCATAGCAAAATCATTAAAAATATAGTTTACCATTAAAATATTCTGATAAAAATTCATAATTTTTATTGAATTGATTATGCCTTGTTTACTTGTGCTTATATTAGTCAACAATTCAAATAAAATAAAAATTATTAGGAATCAGAATACTATATATTAACATAACACTAGTTTCATTAAAAGTCCATAATTTGTCTAATTGCAAAGGCTTCAATTTGACTTGAAAAGAGAGTTTTAGTGACAGCCATAGTCTTATTAGATATAAGGCACTCAGAAGTTCCTAATAGAATTCAATATAGGAAACATAAAGTCATTATAATAACTAATAATACTATCATAGCTATAAAACTCATAAAGTACTTGCATATATACAATTTATTATTGCACATACATAGATTAAAAAATGTGTGCAGAATATCTTTATTTCAAATTTCTTCTTAAATAACTTTAAGAATAATAAAATTGTCTATAAAAAAATTACCTATTTTGAAAAAATAGACAACCAACTATATTAAAATTGTAGATAAAATGGAATAAGTTGAAATGAAATGGATATTTTGAAATAATATTATGAATGAGAAAAAAATATAATTTTATTACTTATTTTGAATATCTTATATATGAATAGGGTATTTTAATATAAGATATACTTATTATTTTGAAAAGTTTCTATTATTAAATTTGCATATATAAATCCAATTTCAATTAATATTAATTCCTGCTTAAACCAAACTATCTAGAAGAACTTAATGAAAATCCTAGAGTCTAACTTTCCCATCCTTATCTTTATCAGCCATTAGCATCCAAGACTTAGCATCTTATTCTGTTATCTAATATGGCATTTTCAATTATAAGTAAGTTTCCTTAAGTAATGCAAATGCCTATCGTTTTATCAATAAATTTACCTCATTTTATGTTATGAAACCATTTTTTTAGAATTTATTAAAAATTCTTTCTGCTAATTCAAGCTTTTTTTAGGTTCTTGTATTATATTATTAATATTTAGTTTTATCCGTTTCCAAGGGATAAACAAAGGTGTTTGATTATTGGCTTAATGGTTATAATTTTTAATTGGAAATAGTCGAGGTTGTTTGTTTAACTGAAGAATATTTTTGGCTGTTTGATTCAGGAGCTGCTTTCAACGAATAATTTCCAGTTTCTTATTTAATATCCTTTGAAACAATAATAGCACTTTCTTCTTTAAATTCAACATTTTCAACTACATAACTTTCGTATGAAACTTAAATTGGAGGATAACCAAGTAGTTCTTAAGCTTTATTAGTATCTTCTTAATCTTATGATAATAATTGTTTGGCATTATTTTCAACATCATCTTCTGTTATATTATTATCTTAATTTAAATCCCAAATCTATGCATATTATAATAAATCCTATTCGGTAAGAGAAGGCATAGGTAATTCTAATTTTGCATAACAATCTTCTAACATCTTCTATACTTAATATGTTGAATAAAATCATACATGAATTAATATCAAAGCTTCCATCCACCATATAGTCTTTAAATAGATTTTATCCAATTTTGGTTGCTGTCTATTAGTCACAAAGCATTGTTATTATTGAAATAAATTATTTTATTTATTAAATAAATAAATGAATAATTATATAATTGAAGATTTACTTTTGAGAAATATATGATATTTAAGACATTGAAATAAATAAGTTAAAGAGATAAAATCAAAAATTTATCCCAATTGTCAATTAAAAATTTAGTTATTTCGAATATAATCAATAATTCAATTTAGGAATGTTACAATTATTTATATGATAGTATTAATATTAGATAATTATCAATTCCTAACTCTTATTTAGTTTTTGATTTAAATTAAAAAACTATTTTATAGATTATCAAAGATTATATCAATTTTTTAAAAGGAATTTAGATTTTTAAAGAGTTTTTTTTATAAAATATGAATGATTGATAATATTTAAGGTCTGTTGAATAAAAGGGTATAAATAAATTAAGAAAAATAAATAAAATCTTTTATTCATTAATTAATAGATTATAGGTTAATTGATCCTAAAGTTCCAACAAATTTTAAGTGTTTTAAATTTAGACTAAAGATATTGCTAATAGGATTGACCATGAAATTGTATAAATAAAAAATTCATATTCTTTAGAGAAAAGATAGAAAACTCATTAAAAAAAGAGTTAAGAAAATGAGAAATGGAAAGAGTAAAAATAAAAAAATTTGGATAAATAAAAACGTAATTATTTGATTAATAAAAATGATAAAATCGAATGAATGAAATAATAAGTATGGAGTATTTGAATAAGAAAAATTTCATATTTAATAAAATTCTACTACAAAAGACAAATTATACTCAAAATATATTGCAATTATTCAAACATTTTCTTTTTTATTCAGTTTCTAATATTAATATGCTATTTTCTAAAATATTATATTTTTTCCAATTCTCTACTATATAAACCTAACAAAGGTTTTATTTAAAATTAATGGAATATTTCTTTAAATTTGGGCAAATTAGATTGCCATTCAAATCCATTCTAGTATTGTTATTTTAATTGTTTTTAGTTTTCTTAAGAATTGATTAAGTTTTTGGTTCAATCTTATTTAATTTAACTTTATTTTAAAGACCAGCAATATGATTATGATAATTCATTAATTTTTAATAATTTTAGATAATTACTGTTTCAATTAATATTAATATTAAATAAATGCTAGATAGTACAACTTCTCATAAAAGTCCTTAATTATCGAAATCTATTAAATCAAAATAAGAACTTTAAAGTTTCTATCATTATTCGAAGATTATGAAATTAAAAGAAGTGACTTAAAAGCCAAGTTAATTATCTATAAATTTTAATTTAAGTCAATAAAATTCGATTGGACTTCGATAAAGTGATCATATAAGCAATTTTGAGTTTTTAATTTAATAAAATTCAAGGCATAATTATCATAGATAAATAAGAGAATAATATCAATATCATTCACAATCATAATTAACAAAAAATTTGACAGAAAAAATTAATTGGTAAAAGTATAAAGAAAATCAAAAAAGAATTGAATAGGCTCTTAATAAATAGAAATTTAATCACTCTTTGGAAAACAATTAATAATCTATAACAAGAAGAAGAGTTTAAAGATTATCTTCAGAAACATCAACTTAATCCAAATTCTTTATAGAATCTAGACCTACCTCTAAATTAGGTACTTAACTCTAAAATTAGATTATATTTGATTCTATGTAAAAGAAATAATCAATCAAAGCTGTAAGTACTTAACATTAAAGTTAAATTGATCAATATGATAATGAAATTTCACCAAAAAATATAAATTTCGACAATTTGGTCAATAAAATTTTAGATAAAAAGTAAGAACAATAATCAGATAATGATGAAAATGAAGATTATAATTAGGAGGAAGAATTTGAAGAATATAAAGATGAAAAAGAAATTATTAATAAAAATGAGGGAATATATGAATAAATTGAAAAATAATTAGATAATAATTTAAGAAGATAATTATAATAAAAAATTAAGTAGGATAACATAAATAATTAATAAATATAAACTACAAATAAATAAACAATTCAAAAATTATAATAAACAAAAAAAAAGTTATAAGCTTCTATAAAATAATAACTGTAATTTTAAGGGAATTAATAAGAAGCAGATAAAGAATAATAATAATAATAATAATCTTTAAATTAAAATAATATCAATTCCCCTAAAAAAATCAATGATGTTAAAACAAAAATACATAATGATGAATATATAAAGGTATTAAGAGAAGAATAAAATTAATATAAATAGAATTAATTAATATTATAGAAAGAAGAAGAGAAAAAGTAATAAGCTAAATTATTAGAAATACAGCAAATTTAAGAGGAAATAGAAAGAAAAAAAAATAAAAAGGAAGAATATATTTATAATTCTTAAGAAAATGACAGTGAAGAATAATTTATTAAGAGATAATAATAATTAAAATTAGATTTAATTGAATCTTAAAAAAAAGAGTAGGAAAGATTGTTGAGAGAGTAATAATTATAATAAAAAGAGAAAGAAGAATTATTGAATAAGGCTAAAAATTAGGAAGAGAAAGAGATTGAAGAAAATAAGAAAAAAGAAATAGCTTAACTTATTTAAAAATAAAAAGATGAGATTGAAAAATAAGCATAAGAAGAAATTGCTAAATAAACTTTGAAATTAGAAAAGTAAAAAAGTGTCTTAATAATTTCAAAATAGACAATCTAAGAAAGAAAAAGATCTTAAGAAGAAATAGAAACTACAAATCGACAAATAAAGAGAGAAATTGAATCAAAAATATAAAAATAAAAAGAAGATGATGAAAAAGAAGAATTAGAATAGTTGAGCTTTGTTGATTACATGTTGAGATCCCAAAATGTTTATGATGTGAATTATGATGTAAATCTTGTTTATTTAGATATAGAAATTTAAATTATATGAAGAACAACTAAAGAAAGTTAAAGAGCCCCCAAATTATTTGGAGGAAGATGAATTGAATATATACAATTTCTTAAGGATTTGGAAGTAAGTAAATAAGAAAGGATAAAATAAAATTTTGAATAAATAAATCAAAGAAAATCAAGAACCTTCAACTTAAATTTGATTTATTTATTGCAATTTTGAAATCAATAAATGGTTTCATTACTTTTTGCACTTAATAATAATAAAATTATTATATAAAATTTCATTATGACTACAATAACATAAGAGTATTCTTTGAATGCATTCCAATAATCTAATTTTCATAAAGTAAATATTAAAACAAATTAATTTAGATTATAATCACTGTATTTTATCATGATGATGATTATAAAACAAGATTAGATAAATTATTATAAATAACACCTCTTGATGTTGATAAATATGCCTTATCTTATTGTAATGATGAATAAATAGCAAGAACTCATAATGTATAAAACCTATATATTTTAGATTGAATAATTACCTTCTGTTTTGATTTCTTCATATCCATATTTAATAAGTAACTAAATATTGAATCTGGAACCTGCATAAATTGTAGTTTAATTAGATAGTATATTTGAACAATTCGAAGCTGAATTTAAAAATTAATAATAACATTATTTTTAAAAGATTGAATAAATGATTAAAGAAAATCCTATTATGTTATTTATAGTAGGTACACCAGAAAAACCCATGTGCAGATTTACGTCAAAATTAATTTAAAAATTGTAACCTTTTGGTATTCAATTTGGATTTTATGATATTGAAATTGACAAACTTATTGTTGGTTATTTAAAGCTTTACTCAAAATGGTAAACATTTCCATAAGTTTTTGTGAATGGAAAATTAATTGGAGGAGCTGATGTAATTCAAATTATTTAAGATTAAGGCAACGGTGGAATTAATAGAATAGAAGAAATTCCAAGAATTAATACCTAAGGAAGCTTATATGACTAAGACTTCAAAATTAGAGTAGATTTAATTAATATCGAAATATATTATCTTAATAGATGGATAACCAGATTAAAATTGTGAAATAGCTAGAATCATGACACAGAAGAAAATTCCATTCCAATTTTACAATATTGGAATGGATTAAGAGGTTAGGTCAGAAGTCTTAAATTTCATGTCTAGTTATATTGAAACATCCCATGATTTGGAACCTCTACTATTATATAAAGTAAAAAATTATTTAATATATATATAGAATACAATATATAATGAAATAACTTTAAAAAAAGAATTGAGTATTTTATAATGAGAAAAGATAAGTAATTTTATATACAATTTTTGATTTAAATATGTATATATATATATAGAAATTACACTAAAATATATTTATTAAAATCAATCATCTTCTAATAATTTTAGGCAAATAAACTTTTGAAAGTGAGTAATTCTTTGATGGAGAATAATTCTTTTCGTATTTACTCAATTTTCGATTTAAAGATTTTGTTCTTACAAAAACATCTAACTATTTTAATGTTTTTTGATTTTTTTCTAAAAGTTTTGTACAATCTAACATAGATTTTAATAAAATTGATCCTCTTTTTTTATTTTTTGTATCCTCATTAAATTATGTACTAACTATTTTACTATTATTAGAGTATTCATCCATTTCTTTGATTTTTTCCATAGCTTTTCTTATTCCATCAGCAAAATCAATGATTGGATAATTTTAAAATTTTGATTTTTATAAAATTGGAGTTTATAACTATCTTAATATTGTACTTTCATTTAATTCCTTATAAACCTAATTTCTTATAGGAGTTCTTTATGATGAATTTTTAAGATGATTACTATTAGTTCCAGAATTTTGTTATTCTTCATCACCTATTGGAAGAATTTTAATATATGAATAATGTTGAGTTTTTTATCTTTGTAAATATTAACATAGATTTTTATTTTTGTATACTACATCAGGTAAGGTTTTGCAATATTATTATTAAACAATTTCATTTTTTGTAATATCATATTTTTCTATTAGTCTACTTAACTTTCTCATATCTCTTTTTGGTTGTTCTAAAGTAGGACTTATTAAGGGTTATTCATTGGAATTATTAAATGTTTATTAAATTCTTTTTGGAGCAATATCCAGAAATACCATACTATAATTTATGAGTAAAATTACTTTTAAGTAGTTTATACTTTATGGGATTGAAAGTTGAAACTTTAACATTTTTCATGTTATGCTATAAATTTTGTAATATATTTAGGAGACACTTTATTATTAATTTTATGTTCTTCAATTTATTTAATAATTTATCCACCACATTCTAAACATTCACAACTTTTATTTCTAACTAATATTGGAACAGAAGTTATATCAAATTTTCTTTTCAGAGTGAATTATTTCTTTAATTCTTTATGATCCTTTAATAAATTCTTTAGTTGAATAGTTTACATAAGGTTAAATATTATTATCTATCAAGTATTTTCTTTTTACTAAAAATAAGTTTACTAGAATTTTAGTTAATTTTAATGATTTAAAAACATTTTAAATAACAATAAATAATAAATAAATTCATTGTTATTAAGTTTATTGAATTATTTGTTATTGAGGTTATTGATGTATAGGACTAGATTTCTAATCTTAAATTTATGCTTTTTGTAAATCTTCTTCTATTTCTCTTTTTAATCTAGCTTCTTTATTCAATTATAATCTTTTTCCTTTCTCTCCTAAACATACTGAATGTTTTTCATTTGAATAACAACAATCATAACCCCATCCAAGAACATCACTCCACCAACTACCCCATACACTTGTATGATCACCATAAAAGAAATCTTCTAAATATTTACTTTTTGTTAGATCTTTCTTTTTTAAAGGATTCTTAGGTAAACCATCTTCTTCATACTCAACAAATCTTTCTGTTTATCCTAATAATAAATCTATTTATGGATTTAAATGTTCTTCACCACCATATCTATCAAATAAGCTCTCTGCTCTTCCAATTTTTTATTCTTCCTTTCTCTCCTTTATTTATTTATACTAATCTAATAAATATAAATATTATACAGTCTTTTCAGTCAGAGTTGGTAAAGATACAGTATTTAGATTTAAATTATGTTATTCTGCATATTACCATGCAAATCTTTCTTATTCATACATTTATAGAGTTTCACCAGTCAATCTAATTTAATTTAAACCTTTAAAAACTTATTTTTCAGGAGGTAAATGTGGATTTGGATTTTCTCTTAAAGATCTAGATTTTGGATCGAAATATGCTGAATTAACATCCAAATTCAATAAATAATTGGCTCTATCTTCTCTAATACGTAAATTTCTAGTCATAGTTTTAGTTCTTGGATCTCTAGTAGTCATTTAAGTTTAATGTTCACCAGTTCCATTATCTTTAAATTCATCATCTAAATTGCCAGACTCTGTTTATTAACCTTCTTATAATCTTGTTTCTTTTCGTTTTTCTTCTAGTATTTCATATTCTTAAATTTATGATTTATAAGTCTCTGGATCATAACCATTCCATCTATCTCTTTTTGCATCATAATTAAGACCAGAAACATTAGTTAAAATATCATCTGGTTATATATCTGTATTAGAATATTTTGCTCCTATTTGTCTAGGTCTTTCACAACAATCTTTACTTTAATGAGTTGTTGAACCACAATTAGTACAAGCTCCTTTTTAAAATTTTAAATTATTTGGACCCTAATTTATATCACTTAAAATTAATACTTTTGATCCTCTTTAATACCAATTATCAAATGTACTTGTATTTTATTATTTTCTTATTCTTTAATGTTTTAATGATGGTGTACTTTCCTTTAAATACCCTAAAATATATGGTTTTAATCATACATGGAGCATTTATAATATATTATGGCATATGAGGATTAATTTCTCTTCCATCTTCATCATTTGTTATTTACATTAAATCTTCTCTACCTTTTTTGTTAAATGACATAATAGATGCAATTAATTATTAAAAATAATCAAAACTTTTTGAGAATATATTTATATCTTATTGATTGAATCATAGTTTATTTATAATCTAGTAAAATCAATATATTTTGATAATGAATGGATAACTAAAATGCACATTGGAATTTTTAACTTTAACTATTAAAACATTCTTAATAATCTATTCTTATTTGCTTTTTATATAGATTGTAACTAAGAATTAAGAATTACCCTATACTGAAAGAGTAGGTGGATTGATTAGTATTTCATTATCATTTTTATTAAGAAATTCCATTTCAAGTGGTAATCCTATTAAACTATTATTCCTAAATGGGATTTTACAATCTAATTTCTTGCCCAATTTAAAAGCCATTTGAATAACTGGTAAATTATAAATAGCTAATTTATTAATGATTATATACAATTCATTAAAGTTTTAGGACATTCTATAGAAGGAATAGTAATTTGACTTTAAATTTAAGCATTTATTTAACCTTAAATTTTTTAATGATTAGAATAAGATGCTGTGATAATAATGGTACCAAAGAGTCCTTTTTATTCTTTAATGTTAGGAACTTTTAAAGCTATTTTCATAGAGAATTATTTTTAAGCTGGACAAGCAAGCATAAATCGATCATTATAATCATATCCATTAAGTTTTCTAGCTGAATAAACATATTCATCTAGATCATCAAATTCTGTGTTATTGCATATTACTTATATGCCTATTATTACAGTCTCATTAGATAGATTTTAAAATTGAATATCATCTTCACAAATATTTCCAGGTATAACCAATCCGAAATTAACAATTTATTTATTCACATTTAATACATCTTTAATATCTCCAATTATCTATAAATAGTTTAATAATTATATTTTACTTTTTTTTATCGTCTTGTTTAGTTATCTGATGTCATTTTTTGTATGAATTATTATTTCTACAATCTAAATAATTCTTAAGAGTTCTCTTTATCAGGAGAAGATGTTGATTATTTTTAGGATTTGTCAATAATTTCTTCTTGAGGAATGCTTTGTTGTTCATTTAATCTATTTGAGCTTTCCGTTAACTAACTCATTTCTTGAACGATTTTTATTTTTTTAACTTTTTATTAAATGTTTTCAGTTAAATATAATTTATATTAAAATCATATAATTTATAATGAGCAGACAATAATTTAGGAATGCAAGAATGAGTCTCTTTGTTGGCAATATTTCAAGATTAGTTGAGTAGAAAGATATAGAAAGAGAATTTAAGGTCTATGGTGATTGTACTGTAGATTTTAGAGTAAAAAATAATGACAGAGTAAATACATATATTAATATATTAGTATGCATTTATTTAATATAAAAGTGAATAAGAAGCAGAAGCTGCAAAAAATGCATTACATCAAAGAGATTTATAGGGTATAGATATAAAGTTTATAAATTCTGAAAGGATTGAGAATTAATGTTGAGTGGTCTAAGAAATCAGGCAGATATGATGAGAATAGAGAACCTAGAAGAGATCGACCAAGGGATGATAGAGGGTATAATAAGAAATTAATTTAAGATAATCAAGAGGAAATTATGATAGATTTGAGAGAGAGAGGGAAAAAGAAAAGAAATAAAGAAGAAGAAAGTAATTAATTTTATATAATTTATTAATTAGTTCTAAAAGTAGAAGTAGAAGTAGAAGTCCTAAAAATAGAAGTAGTCCTTAGTATAGGGTATCCAGAAGTTAAAGTATAGATAGTGAAAATGAACCTCCTAGGGATAAAATGTTAGAATATCTTAAATATTTTAGATTGAGAAAAAAATTAAAAGAAATGATGAGAAAAACAGACAATGGAGAATATAAAGATTGAGTAGTGAACATTATATTTTTAAAATTAATTCAATCACAAGACTTATAGTTTATAGCAACAATAAAATTATTTATAATTAATAATTTAAATTATTTAAAAATTATAATGGTAAAGTATCAATTTACAAGTTAAGATGCTGAAAAATAGATATATCAGGTTGCTAAATTATATGAAATTATAGAATAATAAGCAAATATTATCAAAAAATTACAAATTGAAAATGATTAATAAAGGTTACAACTTTAAACACTATAATAATAAATAGATAAAACATAATACAAATAACAATAACAATCTAATAGTAATTTATTAGATATTAAAGGAGAAAATTAAAATACAGGTAGTTCTATAATCTATCTTAATTAAGATGAAAAAAAAATATTTTAAAGTGAAATAGACATTTTTAATTAAAAAGTTTAAAATCCTTCAGAATTGTAATAAAATAATTAATATCAAATTGGTCCTAATGATACTACAAAATTAGAATAAAATAATTTTTTAAAGAACAATAATTCCTTATTTACAGATTGTAATTTATTTAATACTAATTCATAAATATAATAAATATAAATAGAAACTGAAAAAGTATAGGAATAAAATAATATCTAAAAAGTTGATACAAATAATAATTCATAAAAATAATTGAATATTAATAGTATATTTGATTATCTTTCTAATAATGAACAACATAAAGAATCGAACAACAATATCTCTTAAGATACTAAAAAATAATAAATAGATGAAAAAAATAATAACTAATGTTAATAATAAAATAATAATAACAATTCTAATATAAAAAATAGTAATTAAGGATAAGTTCCTAATATTTTTGGTGTTAATAAAAATATATATAGTTTTTAAGGTGTTAATTCAAAAATGTTTAGTTTTTTAAATGTTAATCCAAATATTTAAAAACTTGGATAGGAAGTTTGTTTACATTAATTGAATGAATAATAAAAAGATAATCTTATTTGTAATGAAAATCAAAAATAATAAATAAATTTTTAAGAAGATAATGAAGAAGAATCTTTACTATTTGGAGATCCTTCTTTTAATTGTTCTAATGTTTAAAATTCTTAAAGTAAAGCTCAAGATAAGGTTTAATAAGTTAGTGAAGATGAATAATTTGATAATAATGAAGGCATTAATGAATAAGAAAATAATAAAGAAAACTCTTCTTAAAATTAAAGTTCAATTGAAAAACAAGAAGAATTTTAAATTATATAACAAGATGAAGAATCTAATTCAATTTGAGTCACAATATGAAATAATATATAATATATTTAATTTTTCGTATTCTTGTTTATCCTAAATTGATGATATAACAAATATTTTAACTTAATAAAATGAATAAATGGACCCTTAAATTTGAGAATTAAGCTTTGGAAAATTAATTTTAAGCTAATCAATAAGATAACTACAAAACCTTTATTTTCAAAGTTATATCTATTTCATCCATTGTAATGCATATAGGAAAGTTTATTTCAGATTCATATTAAAATACTCCTTTGAGAATTGAATATTAAACTCCAGGATTGATAATTTCAATAATCACTTTATTTGTGATATTTAGATATCCATAATATTCTTCAAATATGATGTCTTTGTTAAATTACTCTTTATCAATAGTTTAATTTTGGGTTGATAACACTTATGGTTAATAAAGAAGTTTTGTTCTTGGTTCAAATGTAACAGCATCATAAATGATTTTGATGATGTCATTGGACTTTTATTAAATAGTCCCTTAGATTGTAATATAATGTCTTTTAAAGTTGCTCATAATGAGTAAATATCAGGAAGAGAATTTAAGAATAGTTACAATCTTATATAGTGTACTTGTAGCAATTAGTTCAATTGTTGCTTATTATTTGATAGGCTAAGCAAAGAGAAAACAGTTTTTATTGAATGTCAAAGAAGATAGATATTGTAAAAATGTTCATTATTATAGTACAATATTTACCAAAATTTATTTCAGTTCCTTTCATGATGTTTGAATATTAGTAAGGTTAGTTTTAACCTCTTCTATTGAGTAAATAAAATAGAATAAAAAGATGGAACACCAATCTGTGTGATGGGTGTAATTTAAGAAGTTTAATTAGATATATTTATTTTGCAAATTAAACTTTAGAAAATTATTTGTTGGAAAAATTGAGTACTATAAAAAGCTCTTTTGAATAAGGTAACACAATAGAAGAATTTTCCTTTGCATTTAGATGTTACTCTTAAATTGATGTTATAATAACAATAACGGATAAAGTTAAATTTTTTATTAAATTTGAAAATGCAACATAATGCACAGTATAAGAGAAAATTGCTATTGATAAAATTAATCATTTTTATCGTTTAATTAGAAAAGTATTCAAATGTGTTTAAAAACCTTAAAAATATAAAACACTTTTATTTGATATTTCTATTTAATTTATTTCTGGATTTTATTTATATGGAAATAAAGAAGTTCATTATTATCCAGTTGAAATTCTTAAAAATATAATTAAATTTGTAGGAGCTGCAAATATTTTAGTGAATGTTGAATAGACTACTGAAAGTTATAGTTTGATAGGTTCAAAAAATTAGTTTTCTGTTTTTTTTCTATAGATATGCAGAATATTAATGATTACTCATAGTGAACTTGAATTTATTGTTATAAGAGTAAACATCTCTTAAGACAGTTCTTTAATATTTGAATTCTCTATAAAAAGAGAGAATTTATAAAAATTTATTCATTTGTATAAGATTAATAAATTTTTACAATCTTTAGAATTGGTTCTTTTTGAGAAAAGTATTAATTTTTAGAAAGATTGTTAATTAAAAATGAAGAGAATTTCAGTTGATGAACTTAAAAAAATCATTTGAAATTTAATTGCTTTTATATTTATTCTAATAATAATTTCTTATATATATATATTATAATACTAACAATATTATGGAATACGATTACATTGGAGCTATCAAAATAAAAGATGGGTTGTTTTTAGGAGATCAGTTTGCTTCTTAGGTAGATAGTTGAATTAAGATTTTAGGACTTAGAATTTATTGTAACTAATAAGGTTTCCAGAATTGTTAATTGTGCTTGTAAGCAAATACCAAATCATTGGGAATCGATAGGAATAATATATATGTCTTTACCATGGATTGATAATGATACTCAAGTAAAATTGTATATAATGAGGTTATATTCTAACAAGAGGATCTGATTAATTAAGTAATTAAATTTATTGATGATGCATTGAATAATGGAGAAAGTGTTATTGTACATTCAATAAGAGGACACAATAGATCAATTGCAGTTCTATGTGTTTATTTTATGAAAAAATATAGATGGACATTATATAAAACTTTATAATTTATGCATAGTAGAAGACCTGATTTGGAAATAAGAGCTAATTTTTTTAATTAACTTTTGGCAATAGAAACAAAATTTTAAAAGAATGGATTAGGTGCAAAAACTTATAATTGGGAAGAAGTATATTCACAAGGAGATCCTGAAGAAATGGTATTAAGAAATACATATTTAAATGCTTAACCTTAAGGAGTAGCTGAATTTAAAGATCATGATTAAAAACCAAAAACTTAAAAGTAAAATATGTGATTAATTCATATAAGGTTACGTTTTGCTGAAAAAATAACCATGTATATACCACCCTATGAAAAAATAATATTCAATAAAAAGAAATAACCATAAGCTATACAAACCAAATCTTGTCTAACAGGAAAAACACTTTAATATGAATAATAAATCTAATAATCTCCTCGTCCCTAAACTAATTTAATGTCTTAGACATAACCTTTATAACCAATCTAACCTATTCAATAAAGACCTTCATCTTAAGATGTAAAGAGAGTTGTTGTGAAGAGTGACAGTTCAAAATTATAATAGCTACCTGAAGCCACTTGTAAGTATTAAATTAATTAAAGAATCATTAAAACCTAAGAAATAAGCCAATAATTTTATGGATTCAGGAGACTAATTTTTTTTGAAATCCTAGTAAAAAATTAATTAGGATCCACCTTAAGGAAATGTTTAAAATGAGAGAAGACCTTAAACAGCACCTAATTAATTAAGAGCACCTAGACTTTAAGTCACACCATATAAAAAAAATAGTAGTGGAGGTTAAAGATAAGAATTAAGCATTTAAGGGAATACATAATTTAAACCTATAGGTAATAGGTAAAGAGCTCATTCACCAAATGCAGTATATAATGCAAATCCTTATGTTTAAAAATAATTTAAAACAAAACCTTAGAAAAAATGAATTTGTATTTATTTCTTTATTAATTATATATATTTTTATTGTTTCAAAGTCCCTTAACAATTTTCTCAACTAATTCTGGAGTTAATTCTGTTTCTGCTTCTTTAATTGTTAATTAAAGGAGATTTTATCTTACCATACTAATATAATATTAATCATATTATTTTTCTTAAACTAATTGACCTTCTGTATATAAATTAAACAAAGCATAGAGAACAAAAACTCCACAATCCTAAACATAACTAATTTTTTTACTTGAGATGATCTCTATTAAGGACTTTTTGTCTAAAGTTTCCATTATATTTTGGAAGGTTTTTTATAATCTATTATTTTTTAAATTCCTTCTTTTATATCAGAATTAGCTATAAATGCAGAATCTTAATAGAGAACTATTTATTTTTTGAGATCAATATTTATACTCATCCAATGAGCATTTTTAAGATTAATTGGGAAAAAAGAAAATTCATGTTGATATATTGGGTTAATTGAAAGATTAAGTTAATTTTAAATTAAATATTAATCTAACTTATTTTGCATTGTTTTTATTCTAAACTTACCTTCTTCTGCTTTTGTTACTTCTATATTTTAAATAACAAATTAATATTTTTTCCCATATGGTGTTTCCTATAACTATTATATTTATTATTTTTTATTTGTTTAATTTGTTTTAACAATATCAACTTATTCTTTTTTCTCATAAAAAGGTTCATTTAAATTAATTGGTTTAGTTGGAGGATAAGGATTATCTGGTATAATTAACTACAAATAATCTTTTTCTTATTATTAAATTACATTAGTAGTTAATTATTTAGTTAATAATGGCATATAATCAACAAAAAAATAATGATCAGCAACAAATATCTAATTTAAGTAAATTATACCTTTCTCTACTTTGAAAAATATTTCTAAAATAAACTTATAAAAAATAGTATGTGTTGGGATGTTAATTATCTCTCTTAATTAGCCAATTATAATAAAAATTAATAATCTATAGTAACACCATTCTTTCTCACATTGATGTTTTTGAATTATTTTAACATGTCTTCTACTTTTATTTATGGTCTTTAGTTCTATTCTGTTTTCATTGGATAGAATAAAAATTAATAATTTAAATACTATAATATAAAAATCATTCTAAAGCAATTAAATACTCAAAAGATTCTTTATTAATATCTATTTAAGCCCCTATAACAGCCAAATTATACAGAATCTTTCTTCTAAACTTATCTACCAATCTTTGATTATATTTATATTCTTAATTTTTTAAAGTATATAGAAGAGATAGCAATAAAAATATACCACAATCATAACTAAAATCAAATTAAATAATACCCATTAGTCTATTGAATATATATAGGTTTAATTTAAAAGTTTTATGGATCAACATTATAGTGTTCTAATATAGAATGTATCCCTTTTATTATTAAAGGATCAATTTTTTCATAAAAAGAATCAAAGTAATATATTTACTTTGGATTAAATTATACTAAAACACTAATCCAATGAGATTATAATATATTTACTGGAAAAAACCAATAATCTTAATCCATTAATTAATCTACTTATAAGTTATTATTTTCTGCAAATTATTTCATTAATTAACCAAGTTATGATTTCTAAATTATTTCTTATGGAGGTGTCACTTCTTATGTAATATTAATAATTTAAAAATGGTATTTTTTTTCAGGTTGTGATTATTAAATCTAAGTTTCTACTTAAACTTATTTTACTGGTACTTATTCAAAAGGTACTTTTTTTTTTTCTTAAACAATTGGGTCTATTTATTTTTAGACAATTTTATCTTAAACTTTATTTTCATTGATTAAAGCTTTATCTATCTTTTATTGATTCAAATTTACATCTTACTTTTAATTTTTTTCTTTATTTTATTTTATATTATTTGTAGTTGGATTAATTTCTTATTTTTACAAAGCAGAATCTTATTGTGAATTTTTTTTAAATTAATCAGTTTTAGCTTAATCGTTTTTTTGATTCTATTAGGTTAATTAAAATTTTAAAGAAGATAAATTATTTTTTTTTGGAATATCTATATTGTTATTATCTTATTTCTTATTTTAATCTAGTTAATTTTATTCTTCTTATAATGATTATTTTAATTAATTATTAGAGTTATTTGGTATTATTTGAGACTAAGGTGGTTATTATTCAACTTTATTATTATTAATTTCCTGTTTTTTTTCTTATTTTTATACTTATGTTAGTTGAGATTTATCATTATTATTTAAAGAGAGATTTTTAGTTTCTAGACTATCCTAATTAGACTTTTATTAATTATTTTATTAAGATGAAATTTCTTTTTATATGATTTGGTTGAGTGGATCCTCAATCTTATTTTACTCTTAGGATTTCACTTCAACATTAGGCCTTTTCCAATCAATTTTAATGATTTGAGGTTGTTATTCAGATTCTTGTGGTTTTTATAATGTTAGAACAAAGTCTGTAAAAAAGTAACATGTTGCTGAAGCTAACTAAAATTTAATTCTATTAGATTACTTTAACGTTTGAATATGCTTTCCTGAATAGATTCATGAAAAATTACAATTAGGAACTTTCTAAATAGCTACACTCTTGGATTTTTGCCAAAAATTTGTATTCTACCGTCACTCCATAGGTAGGATTTCTAAAATTGAATTATTTCATTTCAATAGAATAATTACTAGGTTAAATGTAGAAAATATTCTATCCAAATTTTTCCTTCAATTTTAGTTTTAATAGGGTTTCTTATTATTATTATTATTATTATTATTATTATTATTATGAAGCAATTTTTTTTTTATCTCTTCTTTGATTCATTTTTAAAACAATTTTTAAATTTTTCTATAAAATTACTTAGTTTATTTATTTAGATTTATAGGGAAATTTATGCAATTAATTATCATAAAAAAATTGATTAATGCAACAAGATAAAGAAATCTCAAAAAATTGGCTTAGAGTTGATCCCTTTGATATTCCAGTTTTAAAAGATGCACCAAAACATTAACCTGAAAGATTTAGTGAATATGTTGAATTAAAGGATGAAAATGATAATGTGATTGGATTTCAAGTGGATGAATAATAATATATATTTGATTCAGAAGGAGGGTAATTTAATCATTTTTACATACTATAGATGGAGAGATGAAAATGGTTGTCATTATGATAAAGATGGATAACCAGCTGGATGGTTTGTCCTTCATCCTGGTGATATTCATCATGAACATTTTTATGATCAAGATGGTATTTATGTACCTAGTGATAATGAAAATTCTGACAATGAACAAAAGCTTGGTGGAGATGCTAAATAAATATAAAAAAGTGAACAATCTTGAAAGACAATTAAATTGATTTTCAAAAATATAGGAAGAAGAAATAATATATTATATAAAATATAGATTTTTTCTAATGTAAAACAACATGCTTGAAGATCTCAAAAATATTATGAAAGAAGGCTGGCTAGAAAAAGAATCTCGTGTATTTAAATCTTGGAGAAAGTATTCTATATTATTCATCCATTTAGACGATGGTTTGTTTTAACAACGACAACCTTGTATACATTCAAGGCAGAAAAATAATATAGTAATCCAACAGAGCTTATTCCTTTATCAACTATAAGTACAATTAAATCATGTTAAGAAGAAACAAACAAAGAAAATACATTTGTATATTTGTAAATAACATTAGAAAATTGATACACCAGAAACAACATTTTTTCTAATGTCAAATAATAATCAAGAGAAGGAGGCTTGGATTGGAGCAATTGGTAAAGCTATGGTTAAATTGCATATGAAGAAAAATTAAAAAGATGATGATTTCGATTGATTTCTTATTAAATATAAATAAATATAAAGTAATATTTTATTGATTTTACTCACATTCTTCTATTCATAATAATTAAATCAATGTAGATCTTATCAAAGTCTCTTTGTTATTAATTAGTTCATATGCTTTAATTAAAATATAATGAGAAAGTATTCTTATAAGGCATTTTTTTGAATATTTTCTTATTGTAAACTTTTAAATAACAAGAACTAATTATTATATTATACATTAATTAATGGTTTTTATATTAATTTCTTTGATTTAAATAAATTAAGATTGTATATACCCTTATAAACATATATTTTTTCTTTTTTTTAAATTAATAAATAAAAAATCCTAATTTCTTTAGCTCTAATTTAATGAATTATTAAAGATATTATAAAAAATATTTTATTTATAGTAATTCATACATTAAAGATACCATATTTATCATGATTTACTGTAAATAAAAGTTTAATTTTATTAAAATTATTTATCATGTATATAAAAATTGATTTATTTCAATTTTTACTTTAGTATAAATTAATTTAAGTTGTTTTTTAATGAACATAAAATTTAGAAAAGATGATATTAAATAAATATTAGTTTAATGTTATAAAATTAATATTATGTGAATAATTATAACACTGAAATGTTTTATAGGGTTGTAGGAAGTATTTTTCAGATAAAATTAATCAATTTAATGGTATTTTTATTAGTATATTTGAAAATGAATGTTTGTAAAAGAAAATGCCTCAAATTTAAATAAATAAAATTGTGTATTAAATGTCCCAATTCTTACAACCAACCATCTTATTATTGAGAGAAGGCACAGACACATCATAAGGAAGAGCTTAAATAGTGTCTAACATAAATGCTGTGTAAGCTGTGGCTGATGTGGTAAAAAGTACCCTTGGTCCAAGAGGAATGGATAAAATGATTCAAACAGGTCCAAAAGTTACCATTTCTAATGATGGAGCGACAATTCTAAATTTATTAGAGGTTGTCCATCCAGCAGCTAGAGTCTTAGTTGACATTGCCAAATCCTAAGATGATGAAGTTGGTGATGGTACAACTTCTACAACATTGTTGGCTGCAGAATTGTTAAAAGAAGCTAAGCCATTTATTGAAGAAGGAATTCATCCGCAAATAGTGATCTAAGGATATAGAAAGGCTTTGGAATTGGCATTAGAAAAATTAGAAGGATTCTCAATAAATATTTCTCGAGATTCTCCAGAAGATAAGAGAGACACTTTATTGAAATGTGCTTAAACAGCTTTGAATTCAAAATTAGTATAATAATAATAATTAATATTAATTAGTTAGCCAATACTAAATAATTCTTTAGTGAATTAGTTGTATCAGCAGTTGAGAAGTTAGATCCAAATATTTTAGATAGAGATTTAATTGGAATCAAGAATGTTACAGGAGGAAGTGTAACTGATTCATTTTTAGTTGATGGAGTTGCATTCAAGAAAACATTTTCATATGCTGGTTTTGAATAATAACCAAAGAGATTTGAAAATCCTAAAATTTGTTTATTAAATTTAGAATTAGAACTTAAAAGTGAAAAGGAAAATGCAGAAATTAGAATTGAAAAACCAGAAGAATATCAATAAATTGTAGATGCTGAATGGGCTTTGATTTATGAAAAATTAGAAATCATTGTTAAAGCAGGTGCCTAAATTGTATTATCTAAACTTCCTATTGGAGATTTAGCTACACAATATTTTGCTGATAGGAATATCTTTTGTGCTGGAAGAGTTCCTTAAGAAGATCTTCTTAGAGTTTAAAAAGTAATTAAATAAATTATTTAAATCAGGCTACTGGAGGTCAAGTATAAACAACTGTAAATGGTTTAAATCCAGAGACATTTGGTACATGTGGATTATTTGAAGAAGTTTAAGTTGGAGCAGAAAGATATAACTTATTTAAAAATTGTCCATAAGTAATTTAATTATAAATTATAAATTTTAGTCTAGAACAGCAACCATAGTTTTAAGAGGTGGAGCAGAATAATTTATTTAAGAAGCTGAAAGATCTTTAAATGATGCTATTATGATTGTTAGAAGATGTTTCAAAGCCAATAAAATTGTAGCTGGAGGAGGTGCTATTGAATTAGAATTGTCTAGATATCTTAGACATTATGCTAGATCTGTTACTGGCAAAACATAATATATTGTTAATTCCTATGCTAAAGCATTAGAAGTTATTCCAAGAACAATTGCTGAAAATGCAGGATTAAATTCAATTGAAATTATGAATAAACTTAGATAAAGACATGCTTAAGGTGGAGAAGAAGGTAGATGGTATGGAGTAGATATCAATGGATAATCAGGAGTATGTGATACTCATTCTTCTTTTGTTTGGGAACCAAGTTTAGTCAAAAGAAACGCTCTTTGTTCAGCAACAGAGGTTTTTATTTATATTTATTTTTATAGGCTGCTTGTGCAATTTTATCTATTGATGAAACAGTTAAAAATCCAAAATCTGATTAAGATACAAAAATGAAACCTAAAGGATAACCAGGTAGACCACCAATGGGAATGAGAAGATGAATTTCATATTATAAATAACATATATATAAATGAATTTTGTAGCTATTTAAATATTCTGGTTTTGATGATAACAATATGTATATTTAAATCATTCTTCTCTTAAAGGTACAATTGCAGGTGCAACAATTTTTAGTACCTCTACCATTCTCCTGTGACAATTCAATACAGCTTGATGATCGCTATCTTAAAATTTACCAACAGGTCTTTAACCTAATTATTCAATTTATTTTTAACCTGTAATCTATTTATAGCATACTCTGAATAATCTATTTACTGTCTCTTGATTTGCAATTGATAAGATACGGTCTGCTTGAGGTTCACTCATCCTTCAAAATTTAATTTATATATTTAATAAATCAAGAATTTGGATATATTTTATACTCTACACTTAGCTTTTTCTAACATTTGTATTCTTAACTATTATAAAACATTATGCTATCCATATTTTCAATAACAGATGTCTAAATTAAATTAAATCAATTACATTAGCTTTTAAACTAATTCTAATATGATTTAGAATTTAAGGTCCTTATTTTTTAATGCCTATAAGATTCAAAATCAATTTGCCTTTCTATTATTGAAGTAATTGTTTAGCCTAAAATTAATAAATATTTTTACCTTCCAAGTAATTTATTTATCATTTACATTTTATGCTACTGGGATTGTTTTTAAATCATCAAATTCTACATCTTTTTCAAGATTCACTTCAATAATGATATCTTGCAATGGAGCTTACCATTAATCATTTACTTTATATTGAAGACAATAACTGGCAAATGATTATACACATTCTAATCTATACAAAAAAATAACTGGAATCCTTTATTATGTAAATGCTTTTGTTGGAATGATATAATCAATGATTCCTTTTGGAACCTTGTAATTAGCATTTTTGATAACCATTTTATAACTATTCTCATTCAATTATTATAAATCTAATGAATTTGGAGTGATTCTTCTTTAACATCCATAATTATCTTACCAATATTGTCCCAAAAGTTAAAGATTAGATTAATCATCAAATGTGAAATCTCCATCTAAAGCAATTTATCCAAATATTTTGAGTTCTTTCAATCTACCATCTTTCTAAGCAATCACCATTTTCTCAAGCATTTTTAAACAAGGTTCATTTTATTTTAATGGAGATAAATTTAAAAATGATAAATCAGGACCAGAACTTTATTCAATTTAAACTTGTATTTAATGACTTGGTCTATCATCTAAATCTAGTAGATCATTTGCATTTTATTATAATTTTGGTTTTACTTAAATAGAGTTCGTTCTTGATTATTCTTCATTAGAATTTTAGGCTTACTAAATCTAGATTTTAGAAACTTCAATAGAGGTAAAGTTCTCACCATAATCTAGTAAATTAATTTATCTGTTATTTTACTATTAAAGTGACTTTGATGATTATTGTTTATTTTGTTAATTAGATTAATCCTATTGTCCACCTACTCTTTACATCTAACCTTAATAAATAAGTTTCATAATTTGCATATCCGAACTACTTATACCTTTATATTGATTTACTAATTATGAAGATTTTTATGTATGTGATTTATATTAAGTATTTGGTTTTTATGGTTTATATTTTTGGAATATATTTTCTTTATGAACTTACTTACTCTTCATTTTAAATGCACAATCATATAAATTCTTTTTTTATTTTTATTTCCATTATAATTCTTCTTAATTTTACTTAGATTCATCTAAATTAGTAATTGGTTTAATAAATATGTTTATAATATCTATTTCTTTTTCAATAATTTATTATTTTTTAGCATATTTTAGAGGTATATTAGCAATAAGATTTTTTTCAATTGTTGCTTAAAGTGATGAAAACTTTTAAAGATGATCACAATCTATAATACATTTAGATGATGTTGGAACTTTAAGTGTTAAATTAAATTATAATTTTTGAGGCAAAAATTCTTTAGTGTATAAAAATTCTTCTAATATGAGCAACATCTAAGAATATAATTGAAAGTTACTTCTTAATATTTCTTAGTTGTAATTTCTTATTTATAATATGTAGAATAGAATTCTGCTAATATTTTAATAGCTTCATATCCCAAAAATAAATCATTTCGCTATATAATAACTAAAAATATTGCCTAAATTGATTAAGTTAATTGTAATTACATCTTTATTTACATTGCATATACAAAGATAATTTGAATCTAAAACAATTGATCTATCTATTTTTTTTCCTGTCTCTAAATTATTAATTGATGAATACTAATCTAACTAAGAATATAATTATAAATATCCTTAGAATGTTGTAATGATTATTCATGAGAATAATCATTTGATGAGACAACAAAGATATTTTATCCTCTTTTATTTTGAATGATGATTGAACATAATTTCATAGTTTTGTATTATATTAAATAAATATATTTTCTTTATTCTCTTTGTTTTAATCTCTTATTCTAATTTTTTCTCTACTTTTACATCTATCTGCTGTTCTTAATTTGAATTCTTTGAACTCTGTAAGTGGTTTGTTAGACTTGAAGATCTAGAATTTAACAGGATTGATTTGCATCTTTGGTTTTGATTTTGATTTAATCTACTAAATAGGTTATTTAATTTTTTAATTGCTTAATTCAATTGATTATGATCTATATCTATGAGATAGATTAGTAAAGTAAGAAGATCTTTTGATTTCACTTTAACTAATTGAATAATGAAGTGATTGAGTTTCTATTTATCTTGCTTTTCTAAACATTTTGTAATCAAATTTAAATTATTAAATTAACATCTCTATTTAATTTAATATGTAAAAAGTTATCACACCTGAAATTGTGAGAACATTTACAAATCCATGTGATAAATTTTTATGCAAACCCTCAGAAGAAATTAAATTTATTAAATTTATACTCAGAGATGCTGATGATAATTTTATTTTATTTGACTTTGATAATGATGAAGATAATTAATAATAAGAAGTTTTGAGTTATTAATTTACACCTTAATATTTTGATATCAAAACATTAGGAGCAACTAAAATATTCAAGACCTTCGATAAGCCATTAAAGAATTTGCTACTTATTGATAGGTATTTAATAAATTCAATCTAGATTCTATTTTAAAAACAACCTCATTAAAGAATATGAATTTCGCTTTCCTTTTTGCATACCACATTCAACAAATACTTGGGAATCAATGTATGATTAACCTGCTTTAGGTGCTAATTTAAAAGATTAAATGCTTCTAAATCCATGGGAAACAAGAAGTGATACATTTCTATTTATAGATGGAAAATTAGCTAATCATGAAAGAATAGAGTATGATTTTAGTGGAGATTAAGAAGATTTTGATTGAAATATACATAGTTTGTATTGACTTTAATTAAATTAATGAATTCATTGCAATAAAAGTTGAAGCTTAATATCGGTACTCAAACCAAAACTGATAGTTCCTTACTGCCTGATATTGTTTAAAAGAGTCCTAGAATGGTACTTAGAAATCTACAATCAACTAAATTAAGGAGTTAAGAGTATATAAGCACAGATAGAATAATAGAAATGAAGGATGCGATTGTATCTAATCATTCAAGATAAACATCCTTATAAAAAATGAATTTATCTTAATGTAAATACAGAATTAATAAATTGGCTAATGATGATAATCGTGTTTGTCTACCTAATTTTAAGAAATGGAATAAAGAAAAAGCTAAAAAAATGTTATGCGATTATATCAAATTAAACAATAAATATACAAATAAAATAATTGTTAAATTACCTGAATATGAAAAAAGAGCTCCATTTATAACAGAATAATTTTCATTTATTGAGAAAATACTACCTCATAATTAAAAGTTTAAAAAATAATTAGGGTTTAGTGAAGAAAGTATTTTAAGAAATAATTTGTTACTTGAAAAAATCCTATTAGAAAGATTATTATGAATTCTGGTTTTATACTATTTATGTATTATTATTATGTAATTATCTCAATCGGTGAAATAAAAGAAATCATGGGCTGCATTATCATATAATCTCATGCAGAAACAACCAACTATTTCATAGTAAAATGCTTACGTCCATAACTAAACACAGCAGGGAACCAGAAATTTCTTATATTCTTTCTATACCATGCACCATAGAAAAGTCTTTTGAATAAGTATTCTTTAGGTCCTCCAAACATATAATGGAAATTGTGGTGTTGATTAGATAATGATCTTGAGTGTTAAATGAACCCCTAATAATTTAAATATATTATTTTACTCTCTCATAATTAAATTTGTCATGATAATTAGACAAATTGTTCTTGCTATTATGTGCCATATACTCTGCTCTCTCAGGTAAATGTCTCAAACCACCTCTGAATGTTCTAAATTCATCAGATTTGTATTCACTAACATATGTTAATCCTGCACCTTTGGCGTTCATTTTTTTATTTAAGATATTAATTATTTAATTCAATAAGTTAAAGCCAATATGAAAATATTATCATAATTATTGTATAAACCTTATGTATAATCTACATTAATATGAGCATATAATATAATATTATAAAGTCTAAGTTTACCATATAATTTTTAAATCACTTATGTATAAAGTATTTTAGAAAAAGTATAATTTAATTTATATATATAAAAATGTCATTTACTTATGCTTATTAACCTGAATTGATAAGAGCATCATAAAAGGATTCAGAGATGATTCAATAGATCTATCAAAATATATGCAATCTTTTGGAATATTTTGTTTCAACTAGATAAATCTATAATAAAATCAATACAATAAAAATGTTAAGTAATCTTACTTATTATTTGTTGACATATTTTAGAGAAGTCAAAACTATAGGAGAAGAATATACAAATATATAAGTTTTTAATTATTCTGATTATGATGATCATTTTGTACCTTTATAAAAAAGAAGGAAAGTGTTATTTATTATTTTATAATTACTCTCATTTTCTATTTCAAAGTTAAGATCTAGATAAATAATGTATTAGCAATAAAATTAGACAAATAAAATACTTAAAAATTTGCCAGATATAAATGATTTATTAGAAGGGATTTAAGATTTTCATTTAGCCTTATTTTTAATACAAGGTTCTTATTTTGAAATAAGTAAAAGATTAACTAAAATCTAATTTATTTTTAATAGAATACCACCAAATCACAATATTAAGTATAAAAGAATTGGTTAAGCTTATTTAATATTATTAATTTTGTAATTTATTAAATATTTGTATAATTTTATTTTGAAGATTAAGAATGAAAATATGAAAGATCAAGTTAATAAAGAAAGAAATATAACAACAAATGAGAATAATGATAAATTTACATAATGTTTAATTTGTTATGATAATGCAACAAATGTAACATGTACTCCATGTGGACATTTATATTGTTGGGATTGCATAATGTAATAAGTAATTTTGAAACAATAATGTCCTATATGTAGATAGGATTGTCATGTTTAATAATTAATATAATTGTACAATTATAATTGAATAATAATAAATTTTAACCGAATAATATAATTTTTAACGTATAATTAAATGATCCACGAACAGTATAGATTCTTCGGCAAAGAATTAGTTAATTCATCAGGTGAATTTTAAAAGGAAAATACAGACAGAAATAAACCAAAGCATCTTACTGTATTACCTAGATATCTTAAACTAAATTTATGGTAAGAAGAGAAGGAAAATAAAATAGAAGTTGAAAATAACATTCATTAATTATGTTCTTTTGATTAATAAATGATTAAAGATCCTTAATTCACATCATTATATAATTAAGAGATATTTACTTATTTGTTGAGTTAAGAAGAAAAATATTTAGTTAGTAATAATTATATGAATGAATAATAACAACCTGATTTAAATGCAAGAATGAGAGCAATTCTATTAGATTGGTTAATTGATGTTCATCTTAAATTTAAATTAAGAGATGAAACATTATATGTTACAACATATTTAATAGATAGATTTCTAAATCTTAAGACTACAACTAGATAATAACTTTAATTAGTTGGTGTAGCTTCATTATTTATAGCTTGTAAATATGAAGAAATATATCCACCTGATTTGAAAGATTTTGTGTATATCACTGATAATGCATACACAAAATAAGATGTTCTTGATATGGAAGGATAAATATTATAAACATTAGATTTTTCAATTACATAACCATCAAGTTATTGTTTTCTATAAAGATTTGGTAGAATTTCAGGATTAGATAATAAGAATTTATATTTAGCTTAATATCTTTTAGAATTATCAATGATTGATATGAAATTTATGAATTACAAACCATCATTTCTGTCTGCAGCAGCTATTTATCTTGTACATAAAATAAGGTATTAGAAATATATTTTCATAGGAAGACTCCTTAATCTTGGAATGAAGAAATGTAAAAAATGACAGGTTATAATGAATAGGAACTTAGATATTGTGCTAAAGAAATGTGTCTTATATTATAATCATCAGATAAATCAAATTTATAAGCTGTTAGAAAAAAGTTTGCTTAACCTAAATATTTAGAAGTATCACGTATTAGAGTGGAAAGATAAGTTAAGTAATAAAAATGAATAGTGAATTCATTTCTAGTTAAAATATTAAACATTTATAAATTTAATATCAATTTTTTTATGACACTGATCTTCTTTTTGTATTTGTTACTTATATTATATAATTATTATTAGAATACAAGAGATTTTTTAATCTTTATTGTAATTTATCTTAATAGATTTAATAACCATCACTAATTATTCCTAATTATTAAAAATTTTGATTATTATTAATACTATTAGATTTATTGTTGTTATTACCTTTATTTTAATTTTAGCTAACAGAATTATATGAAGGAAAGAAGGAATTTTAAGTTTGAGATAATTTTGAAGCTTATTAAATTTATTTCATAAATGGAGTTTTATTATTATTTGTTTTGCTTAATGATCTTTATTTATATGAATGTTAAGAAATACTATCAGATCTATTATGATTATTTTCAGTATGAACTCTATTACCATTCTAATAAATTCGAGATTTAGTAGTTGTAAATTATAAACTATTTCTTAACTTTTTCATAAAATTAAACTTATTATTTTCAAAATTAATTAGATTTTCTTTAATCTTGTTTAATTTAGCTTTTTTCATTAATTTATTTTTGATTAAATAATAACATGTAGTTTATGTACAATGTTTATTCTACTCTAATTATTAAAATAAATTAACTGTTTCTATTTGATTATCTTCCAATTCTTTAATAATTAAATGTATAGGAACATCCTCAGGTACTTTTAAATATTCATTTTCAAATATTAGATTTTATGATTCTAAGAAATTCATTAATTCATTAAGTGTAATTCGTTTATTTGGATCAACATTAAGCATTGTTTCTAATAATGAACAAACTTATTATGAAATTGGAAAATTGATTTAAAATTGTGATTTCTTAATTTTATTTTTTAAATCATTATTATTAGTTATATTATCAAATGGCAATTAACCTTATAACATTTAATATAATATTAATCCTAAACACCACATATCATATTTTTATCCATCAAATTCATAGTATAATGAATTTAACATTTCTGGAGATTAATATGATAATTTAATAGTAGAATAATCTTTATTTGCTTATTAATCTATTTTAATAGCCTGACTAAAATCAATAATCTTAGGTTTTCCATTTTATAATACTATGTTCTCTAATCTTAATCTACAATGAACTATATTATTTTCATGTAAATAAGAAACTCCTTTGGCAATTTACTACAAATATATCAATGATTATGCCTCTGAAAATCAATAAATTATAATTATGATACTTTTAACATTAATTTAGTTTATGTTTGAGGTCATCTCCTTCTCCAAATTCAAAAATCATGTAAATATTGTATGTAGATTCCAAAATCTATATTAACTTATTTAAAATTACTTCATATAATTATATTACATTCTAATGTTTGACTTGTCTAAGTATTTAAATTTCATTTTCAAGGTTCTACAAATCTCTATTTAATTTTAGATTCTTTTTCTCTAATATTTTGATTAACACTTTTTCATTCACTAATTAGTGTTTTGCAGTTACAATTTTTCCATATTTACCATTTCCTAATAACTAATCTTATCCATAATTATAATTTCGATACCTATAATATAATGTTATATTTAAAAAGACATTAAATTATATAATCAATTATTTAACAAATTGCAAATCATCATTACTTCAATTCTTTTTCTCTATTTAATAGTATCCTTATTTATAATTTCTATACTCATTATTATATATATTAGAATTCATTTAAATATACTCTATTAAAGAATCTCTAATATGTATATAATATATTAAATTTATAATAAATCATCTTCTACTAAGCAATGAAGAAACAGAAGAAACTATCTTTTTGGTATCATCATCTATGTTTGCATAATTGTCTTTTGCAATTTTAACATATTTTGTTATTTTACTATTACAATCAGTCAAACACTATCTTTCTTTATCATTCATCCATTCATTTTAGATATCAATACATTAATTGGTACATTATTCATAAAAGAAATCCTCAATTTCTTAAAAATCCATAAAATCTAATACATTTCATTTGAATATAGGCTCCTAAATAGGTAGCAAGTGCTCTTTGATCAATTTAGCCACGACTCTATCTAATTTTAAGTTCTTTCTATTAATGGAGATTTTATTGCTATTCAGCAAGTTTCTAATCAAATAATTTCTTTCGATAAGATGAAAACATATAACCACAAAATTAAATTTAATGTTATAAACTTATATAAATAGATTTCTAATAAGTATAGAGTTGTATAATTTAGAATTTGGAATTATTAAAAAGGATGAATCATTTATAGTTAGAGAGGAAATCAGAGAAAATGAAACATGGAGTGATTTAAGATAGAATCGAATTAAATAGATAAAAGATGATCTTGAAAGTGGAAAATTAATGTTGATTAAGAGATCATTAAATAATCAGGATGAACTCTACTTATATAGAGTATTGTGATTGATAAATATGAAATATTCTTATTATGTTTAATATATTAAGGTAAAGCTTCATATGCATCTAGTCAATGTAAATTAATATTTTATGAGGGAATAAGCTCAGTTCATTTGGCAGCAAGTTTAGGAAGATTGAAGATGCTATAGGATTTAAAATTATATGGAGCTCAATTTGATGCTAAAGATGAATTAGGTATGACACCATTAGATCGAGCAATATTATACAATCATAGTGAAATTATAGATTTTTTGAAATAAAAATAATGAAAGATTATTTTAATTTATAAGTTCTTTCAGAATAACAATTATTTATGCAATCATTAAACTATGTTATATATGATAGAATATTTTGTAAATTAAAAAATATATATTATAAAAAGAATAATAAATTTAATATATAATTTTTTTAAGAATATAGATTAAATGTGAGAAAAATAGAATAATTTTTATAGAAATAATTTAAGATATAAGGTAATTAAAAGTAATAATAAAATTTATAATTTTTATTTAATTTATAAAAATAATAAAATAAATTATAAAATAGAAAAGTCTTAGACAGATAATATAATGATTTTTAATATCTTGATTTAATACTATGTGTATTTTGAATAATTTTATTTAATATTATGTCTTCATAAATTATTTAGGGTATAAGCACATTTAAATTCATTAAGAGTTTTCAATTCTATGATTTATTCCTTTTCCAATAAATTGTCTTTAACTTAATTAAATTGTTCTATCAATCCTTTACCATATATCTACAAACTTAACTTATTTTATTATTTAATAAAGTATTTTTCAAAAAACTCTACAATATCCTTTTAATTAATTAATTATGTATACTTTTTACAATATTTCATCAATCATAGCAATGGCAATCTCTTTTTCTTCTAATTAGAGATTATTACCTCTAATCTAACTCCAAATATAGGCACTTTCATCATATAATGATTTATCTTTCTCTTAAAGAGCAGATTTCTAAATAAGATATAATATAATAATACAGCTCCATTTTTAATATTATCCAATTAATCATCACCTAATGATAATAGTACATTATGGAATTATTTCAAAAAGTCTTCAATATGTTAATTAACAACATAAGGCATTTATGCTGTACCTTAAACAATTATTGCAGCACCATCAATACAACCAATAGGTATGAATCTCATTAGAGCTACATAACCCAATTATCTTTCAGTTCTAAGATATTAGAATGCATGATTATGGAAGAATTATTATATAAGATTCATTATAGCAAAATTCTTTTTATTTCTATGTCCAATTTAATAATAATTAATAGTAACACCATTTACATCATTATTATCACCTCCCTTATGAATTAAGGGAACAACAACATTTTTATTAGTGAAATCTCTTATATTGTAAACATGAGGTTCTTCTGATGTATGACTACTTGATTTATGGAAGACCTTTCTAATTGTATGTAAAAGATCTTCTACTTCAGATCTAAGGATGTTGCCACTTACAAATGATGATACTCTAAAGTTAGAAAAATAGTTAGAATGGAATTCTTATAGACTTTCTAAATCTAGTGTAGCCAATTCTTCTTAAAATAGTTAAGATGTATAATATTAAGCTTAAACAACCTAATTCAAATATTCTGACATTGCTACTCTAAATAATTTATCTTAATAAATATTATTGTAATAGATCATCAATTTCTATTTCACTTAATAAAATGAATCATATTTTAAATTATTTATGGATTACAGAACTTTTTCAAAGAATGATTAATAATTATCAGACCATCCATATAATTCAAGTGAAACCCCTTTAATACTTGGAGTAAATTAGAATTAATATCCAGCATCAATAGCTTCTTAGATTTCTTAATTTAAATTATCAGTTACAAGAGTATTAAACACTTAAATCAAGAGTTTATCTTTTAATGAATTAATAGATTTAGGTGTATTAAACATAACACCTGTAAATATTTAAGGAACTTAAAATTATCTTTGTAATTTCCACCAAGCTTTAGTTTCAACAGTTCTTTTAATCATAAGAGGATAATGATTAATGGTTTCATATTCTTTTTCATGTTAAATACAGTCTTCTTTGCTTTTAAATACAAGAGGAGCTTATATAAATGAAGTTTATTCTCTACATAGAGATTTAATACTAAAATCTTTAGGAATGAAAGTGTTAATTTTAGGTAATAACAATGGTAATTATTTACTTTTGATCCAATCAAAAAGTACAACTTTAGTAGTAACAGCACTAGATAATTTTTTAATCTGTTCTCTAGAAAGAGTTTAAATTTCATATTCTAATCTATATAATTCTGATGATTATTTAAGATTAGTAAATTTAGGTGAACCATGAAATATAACAATATTTGATGGATTGAGCATTTCAGTCAAATAATTATATATAATTTCAGGTTAGAATTCCTCATATAAAAATTCAATACTCATAGCATCAGTATAATCAAAGTAATTTAGATTATGAGCTATTTATTATACAGTAGGATAATGATTGTTATCTAAATAATTGTATTATGATAATTGTAATTATTTGTATTGTTACCATATTTCTTCTAAATATGGTGTATAATTAATTTCATTTTTATCTTCTTCTTAAAAGAATTAATCTAACATATTATTAAAATATCCAGTAACAGTTTCAGCTACTTTAAGTTCATCTACTCCTTCAATTAATTCAATTTCTATAAGAAAGAATGTAAAATCTCCATTTCCTTCTAAAAATGTACCTGCATCAACATTTAAAGCCATTTTTTATCTAACTAAATAATCTAATAATCCTTCCTTATGTTTTGATTTTATTAATGATGCTATCATAGGTAAAGTTTTGCTTTTTTTAGCACTTCTAGGAGAATCCAATTAATAAGCTAAAATTAATTAATTTTTATCTCCATTTGTTTTATATTTAACCATTAAACCTGTTTTCTTTAAAGGTAAATGTAATTTTGATCTTTTTTTTAAATTCAAATTTGGTATTTATGAAAAATCACTTTATTCTCTAATCCATTTGGCCATATCAGGATAATTTGATTTTACCACTAAACTCATAATATTTGCACTATAGTATTGTGAATGAAATTTTACTAATTCTTTCATAGGATCTTTTAAAGTTTTTAATGAACCTATTGTAAATCTACCTATTGGTTTATTTGATAAAATCTAAAATAAATGTGAAATCTTCCATAAATCACCTGATACTGCTATTTCATATTCACTATTTACTGCATTTACTTCTCTATCAACCATACTTGAATCCAATAAAGGATCAATAAAAAAATGAGCAAACACTTATAAAGCTTCCACTACTCTTTCATTATTTATTTTCATATAATAATTTGTTTCTTCTCCTCTAGTATATGCATTTGTTGATCCACCTCCTTCTGCTACCAATTTTTAAAAATATCCTTCCTATGGATAACTCTTTGATCCTTAAAATAACATATGTTCTAAAAAGTGAGCTAAACCTGGATATTCATCTGGTTCTGTCCATGAACCTACATTTACACATAATGCTGCTTATGCAATTTTTGCTTCTGGATCTTATATCACTAATACTTTTAATCCATTCTATAGAGTGAAATATTAATATTCATTCTTATCTATTATAGGTAATTTTAAATTTGTGGCCTCTTTATATGCCTTTTCTTAAAATATTGATTTAAGATGAAATAATTCTTCATCAATTTGCTTATGTTTTGAAGATATTACATCTTTTTATGTCTAAACCATTGCTACTGTAGTTTATGGTTACCATATTTAAAATATACTGTTAATCTTAACATAATCTTATATAATAAAACAATACTATTAACATCTAATACAATAAGCACTAACATTGTTATTAAACAAATTAGTAATGCTCCCACTATTATAAACATGGTCTTCTGTTTATTTTTGTGCTTCAATTTTGATATACGCCTTTCTGTTTATGATATTGGAACGTAGTGCATTTATCAATAAAAACGTATTAATTATAAAATTGAGTTTATTCATCATCTAAATTCTTATTTTACCTAAATATTAATTTTAGGTTACCAAAAATTAGTAATTATTCATGAATATTAAATGTTCTTACTAAAACCCAATTTTATTATATATTATGATATTTAAAATATAATTTTATACGACTTTAAATTGAATATTTAATAAAAGACATCTCGTATTAACTTAATTATCAATTATCAATTTGAAAATTTATTTGATTTACNATCTAACTAAATAATCTAATAATCCTTCCTTATGTTTTGATTTTATTAATGATGCTATCATAGGTAAAGTTTTGCTTTTTTTAGCACTTCTAGGAGAATCCAATTAATAAGCTAAAATTAATTAATTTTTATCTCCATTTGTTTTATATTTAACCATTAAACCTGTTTTCTTTAAAGGTAAATGTAATTTTGATCTTTTTTTTAAATTCAAATTTGGTATTTATGAAAAATCACTTTATTCTCTAATCCATTTGGCCATATCAGGATAATTTGATTTTACCACTAAACTCATAATATTTGCACTATAGTATTGTGAATGAAATTTTACTAATTCTTTCATAGGATCTTTTAAAGTTTTTAATGAACCTATTGTAAATCTACCTATTGGTTTATTTGATAAAATCTAAAATAAATGTGAAATCTTCCATAAATCACCTGATACTGCTATTTCATATTCACTATTTACTGCATTTACTTCTCTATCAACCATACTTGAATCCAATAAAGGATCAATAAAAAAATGAGCAAACACTTATAAAGCTTCCACTACTCTTTCATTATTTATTTTCATATAATAATTTGTTTCTTCTCCTCTAGTATATGCATTTGTTGATCCACCTCCTTCTGCTACCAATTTTTAAAAATATCCTTCCTATGGATAACTCTTTGATCCTTAAAATAACATATGTTCTAAAAAGTGAGCTAAACCTGGATATTCATCTGGTTCTGTCCATGAACCTACATTTACACATAATGCTGCTTATGCAATTTTTGCTTCTGGATCTTATATCACTAATACTTTTAATCCATTCTATAGAGTGAAATATTAATATTCATTCTTATCTATTATAGGTAATTTTAAATTTGTGGCCTCTTTATATGCCTTTTCTTAAAATATTGATTTAAGATGAAATAATTCTTCATCAATTTGCTTATGTTTTGAAGATATTACATCTTTTTATGTCTAAACCATTGCTACTGTAGTTTATGGTTACCATATTTAAAATATACTGTTAATCTTAACATAATCTTATATAATAAAACAATACTATTAACATCTAATACAATAAGCACTAACATTGTTATTAAACAAATTAGTAATGCTCCCACTATTATAAACATGGTCTTCTGTTTATTTTTGTGCTTCAATTTTGATATACGCCTTTCTGTTTATGATATTGGAACGTAGTGCATTTATCAATAAAAACGTATTAATTATAAAATTGAGTTTATTCATCATCTAAATTCTTATTTTACCTAAATATTAATTTTAGGTTACCAAAAATTAGTAATTATTCATGAATATTAAATGTTCTTACTAAAACCCAATTTTATTATATATTATGATATTTAAAATATAATTTTATACGACTTTAAATTGAATATTTAATAAAAGACATCTCGTATTAACTTAATTATCAATTATCAATTTGAAAATTTATTTGATTTACATATATGTGAATATTATCATTATATATTAAGAAATCATTTGTTATCTTAATTTAAAACTATTTTATAATTCAATCTATTGGAAGTTCATTTAGGATCTTTTCTTAAACTGATCTAGAATCTGCTTTAATAAATTTAATTAATAAGCAACTATAATATAATCCTGGAATAATCATTAAACTTCCTACTATCAAGAGAGAAAGGTATTATTGAATTTTTTTTGGATTCTTTATTAAAAATATCAATCCAAAAATAACAAAAATAACACCTAATATAAAAAGAAATACAGTTAATGTCACAACCTATAATTTAATTATAAATTATTACTTTTAAAGGTATGACATTAAATTTATATTTTTATTCTGGTTCTTATTGTTGAATAGAATTATTAGTTTAATCTAATTCGTTGCTCTAACTATCTCCATGCTTAGAAGTTGGAGTATCCTTATATGTTTCATTAATTTCAATNCAATAAAGGATCAATAAAAAAATGAGCAAACACTTATAAAGCTTCCACTACTCTTTCATTATTTATTTTCATATAATAATTTGTTTCTTCTCCTCTAGTATATGCATTTGTTGATCCACCTCCTTCTGCTACCAATTTCTAGAAATATCCTTCCTATGGATAACTCTTTGATCCTTAAAATAACATATGTTCTAAAAAGTGAGCTAAACCTGGATATTCATCTGGTTCTGTCCATGAACCTACATTTACACATAATGCTGCTTATGCAATTTTTGCTTCTGGATCCTATATCACTAATACTTTTAATCCATTTGATAAAGTGAAATATTAATATTCATTCTTATCTATTATAGGTAATTTTAAATTTGTGGCTTCTTTATATGCTTTCTCTTAAAATATAGATTTAAGATGAAACAATTCTTCATCAATCTGTTTATGTTTCGATTATATCACATCTCTTTAAGTCTAAACCATAGCAACTGTATTTTGTGGTTACCATATTTAAAATATACTGTTAATCTTAACATAATCTTATATAATAAAACAATACTATTAACATCTAATACAATAAGCACCAACATTGCTATTAAACAAATTAGTAATGCTCCCACTATTATAAACATAGTCTTCTATTTATTTTTGTGTTTTAACTTTGATATACGCCTTTCTGTTTATGAGATTGGAACGTAGTGCATTTATCAATAAAAACGTATTAATTATAAAATTGAATTTTATACATCATCTAAATTCTTATTTTATCTTATATATTAATTATAGTTAATCAAATATAACTCTCATTCATAATGTTCTCATTGAAATCTCAATATATTATAATATTTTAAATATCTATCAGACCATTCATATATTCATTAAAAACAAAGACAACTATAATTATTTAAATCATATAGTAATATTAAATACAATATTCAATTTTCAATAAATATGTACATATATAATAAGTATTATTGATATTATATATGAAATGATAACATCATTTCTTATTTTAGAAATATTGTGTTATCCTAAAAATAAAACAATTTTATAATTCAATCTATTGGAAGTTCATTTAATATCTTCTATTAAGTAGATCTAGAGTCTGCTTTAATAAATTTAATTAATAAGCAACTATAATAAATCCCTGGTATTATCATTAATCCTCCTACTATCAAAAGGGAAATGTATTATTGATATTTATTTGGATTTCTGATTAAAAATACAAGTCCAAAAATAAGAAAGATAATACCCAATAAAAATAGAAATACAGTTAATGCCACTACCTAATTATTATAATAATATTGTTACTTTGATAGGTATTATATTAAAATCATATTTTTACTCTAATTCTTACTATTGAATGGAATTACTGGTTTAATCCATCTCATTATTCTAACTGTCTTCATGTTTCGATGATGGAGTATCCTTATATGTTTCATTAATTTCAATTTCTTCAAATTGTTTTATCTTATGCATTTTTTTATTATTCATTATAAATAGAAATAAATATAATTGTCTGAAATTCTTAAATAAAAATACTATGAAAGTAAAATTAGAAGAGTGAATATTTTAAAAAAATAGTGAAATCAAATTGAATAATATATATGAAAAATATCATATAAATGAAGTTATATAGATAATGTAGTTTTCAATTGCATGATGGTTTCCTACTCTTAGGTTTATCAGATAATAATTTATAAATAGATGAAGCAATATTCTATCTTTACCTTTCAGATTATAATGGCTTGTCATGATAACGACAACTCAATACTATATTAAAATTGATTAATACTACCTTTGGGATCAGATGTGTTACTCAGATTGGTATTGATATTTAGGATTGATTTTATTTATTTCTTAGTTTTGAAATGAGAATCCTCTTAATAATGATCCTTAGATTTATTTGATCCTTTTAAACATATTTATGAAACTAATGGAGTTTTTTATGTTTAAAGTAATTTTTCAAGTTCTATATATTTTTTATGTTATTTTTGTATTTCCTTAGGCAGACCAGCAATTATCCATGGATGTTTAAGTGCATCTAAGGGTTATAACCTATTTTATGGTTCCCATGCAAAACATCTCAATAGAAAATCAACTAAATCTGAATCCTCAGTTCTTAATTTATCATATAGACTAACTGAACTTGGTTTTCTGTAAGATTTTATATTTTTCAAAGGATGTCCATCTTCATCAAAGAAATATTTTTTTCTTGGACATTTTAATGCAAAATCTACAGAAGGTGCTCCAATAATTTCTATAATCAAATTAATTTATTCAATCTCATCTTCTCCTGGAAATATTGGAGTTCCTATATATAATTCTGATATTAAACAAGCAAAACTCCACATATCAATTTCAATACCATATTTTAATCCAAATATTACTTCAGGTGCTCTATAATATCTACTTTGTATATATGTATAAATCTATTATCCAACAAAACAACCTGAACCAAAATCAACTAATTTAATTCCACTTTTTGAATTATCTAATAACATAACATTTTCAGGTTTGATATCACAATGTATAATCTTATGTTTATTTAAGAAATTAAGTGAATTCAACAATTAAATACCAATTTTTCTTGCTAATTCATGATCAATTCCTTTAAATTTTTATTTTTAAATCAATTCAAATAAATTTTACTCTAATTTTTCAAAGACTATACATTAATGTCCTCTAAATGTAAATTATTCAATATTTCTAACTATATTTGAAAGTTAATCTGTATCATGATCTTTAATATATTAAAGAATATTTGCTTCAATAATTGCTTATTTTTTTAATTTATCTTAACATTTGATTACTTTCAAAGCATATAATTATTAATTTTTATGATCCAATACTTAAAATACTTAACCAAAACTTCCTTAACCTAATAGACTGATTATTTCATATTGATATTTTATATGATCCTTAATATTATAAGAATAATCTCCATTAGGTTGATCAATAAGACATTTTGGTTATTTATAATAATAAACCTTAAAAATAATGATAAAAATTTATACTTATTTTATGCCATTCAATTCTCTTTATTCATTTCTTGTTAAATTATATAACTTAAGAAATTATTCAGTTAAGAGAGGTAACTTATTTAATTGACTTTTGTTGCTTAAAAAACTATGTTGATTTTCTTTGTCTGATGGTGACCTAATTTTATATGGTTAGAGCATGCTTTTGAGTGAATTAGTTTTGTTACTATTTATTGGGTATTTTTATTGCAGTTTACGATCAGAAGAAAGAAATGAATTATTAGGACTTACACTCTTAGGTGATGTGTCCAATTTTCTAGTTGATTAAGGATTATCAAACTTTCTTTTTGTAGAAAGTGGATAGTTTAAATAAGAATTAGATGTTAGTTATGAAATATCTAAATGCACAGAAAATTTCTTCTTATGTTCAAACTTCATCTAATATTGTTCTATTATTCTGTTAAATTTTTAATGAACTTAAAAGAATCAGAATCTATAAATGATTTTTTTAAAGATGACACTAAATTCATTGGAGAATATTAAATGCTTGATTACAAAGTACTCAGAGGATATATACCAGGATTTGGATAAGATCTTAGACTTTATTATACTAAATTGGATCCTCCTAATAAGAAAGCATCTATTTGCATTATTCATGGATTTGGAGAACATTAAGGAAGATTTCTACATGTATAAAAAATAAATAGAGATTATATTAGGTGGCTGACTTTTTTGCTAAAATGAATTTTGTTGTACACTTGATTGATTTGAGGGGTTTTGGATTTTCAGGAGGACCAAGAGGATCTCAATCAATAGCAGATCTTTAATTGGATGTTGAAGTTCTCATAAGATAAGCATCAAAGGATTTACCTTTATTTTTATATGGACATGCTATGGGAGCACTTGTTATTATAAGTTTATTAATTCGAAACCCTAAATTAAAAATATCAGGAGTTATTTGTACTGCTCCTACATTAGGATTCCCATTGAATAGAAATATAGGCCCATTTAAGTAATTTTTAATAAAGAACTTTGGGCATTATTTAGAAGTATTTTTATTCTTAAATCGTTTATAGGACTTAGTTATTAATACAAATGTTAATCCAACTAGTTTGAGTAAGAATAATTAACATATTTAAAGAATTTTTGAAGATAGATTGGTAATGCCATTTCTTGGTGTAGGAATGGCTAGAAGTATTTATAAAACATTGCCTTTTATCTTTAAAAATTCTGTTTAATTTTAATTTCCTATTATAATATTTCATGGGAAATAAGATACATAAAGTAGTTATGAAAATAGTGTTCAATTCATAAATTAGGTAGGAAGTAAAGATAAATAAATAAAATTGTTTGATGAAGGATATCATGAATTATAACATGATGAAGAATTTTAGTGTATAAAATAATAATTAAATGAATGGATTAAGATAAGATTAGAGAATAGTGTACCATTTGGTATATATATTTTATAATAATAAAAGGAATATTATCATAACCAAGATTATTGATTGGGATACCTATATAGAAGAATAGAAAAAAATTGATAATATGTTTGCTGATCTTATTGATTATATACTTTTTGACAGTGTTCATAAAGAAAAGTAAATTTAAGAAAGTTTAGTATCCATTTGTGCCAATTCTAATTTTATATAACAAATTGATTAAGAAATAATTAAAATGAATATTAATATTATTTATATCAATGGAGATTGATCACGAATTGACTCCTTTTAATATTAAGAAATTAGTAAATAATGGACACACAACAAGAGTGCTTTTTGAATCTGAACAAGATACTTTTATTTGTGAAATGTAAGTATATTAGTTAATTAATAAGTATTGGTCCAAGTTATCAATAATCACCAGAATGTCAAATAAATATAAAATTAGATGGTAATGAAATACTTAAAAGAGATATTTATAATTTATTAAAACATTTGATATTTACAGAGACATATTAGAAACAATCCTTCACTGTTATTTTTGATATATGTCCTCCATATTCAAAAGCATTTAATGCCTTATATTATGCTGTATTATTACATGGAATTAGAATCAAAGATTCATTTACATCATGTTCAGCTGTACTCTTTAATTATTTAATATATAGTTTTTAGATTAAAATAAAAGACTTATTGTAGATAGAAAAGAGAAATAATGGAGTGCAAAATTAAATTTGGTTTATTCAATTAATTTATAACAAATATTATGTTCAGATGTAATAGGACAATTTAATAATGATGATTTGGGATTATTAATATCTGGATGTATTAGTGGATGCAATCAGATATATAATTTTATTAAAGATCTCTGAGCATATAAATTTGATTCTAGATTTTTAACATATAAATAATTAATTGTTAAATATATTTAAAATGGATTAAGCAACATTTAAGGCAATAAAAGTGAAACTTACAGATTATGAAATTTTATAAACTCTAGGCACTGGTTCATTTGGTAGAGTTAGATTGGCTAAAAATAAAGAAACAGGGGAATATGTAGCTTTGAAAATGTTAAAGAAAGCAGAGATTTTGAGATTAAAATAAGTAGATCACATTATATCTGAAAATACTATCTTATCTAATATAAGTCATCCTTTCTTAGTATACAATTTTACTATTTTAGATTAAAATGCTAGGATTTACTTAAGATGAAAGATATCTTTATTTTCTTCTTGAGTATGTGTAAGGTGGTGAACTCTTTACTTACTTAAGAAATAAAGGTAAATTGGAGAATGATGAAGCAGTGTAAGTTTATTATAATAAAATTAGATTTTATGCATCTCAAGTTGTTCTTATGTTTGAATATTTACATTCAAAAAATATTGTTTATAGAGATCTTAAACCAGAGAATCTCTTAATTGGATCAGATGGTTATCTAAAATTAACTGATTTTGGTTTTGCAAAATAAGTTGAAGGAAGAACTTATACCTTATGTGGTACTCCAGAATATTTGGCTCCAGAAATTCTTCTTAATAAAGGTATAACATTATATATTATCTAACTAAAGGTCATGGAAAACCAGTTGATTGGTGGTGTTTAGGTATCTTGATTTATGAAATGTTGGCTGGAATTGATCCATTTAATGATGAAGATCCTATGGCTATATATTAGAAAATATTAAAGGGGAAGGTAAAATTTCCCAGAAATTTTTAACAGTAAGTAAATTGAATTCATTTTTATCTAGAGAAGCCAAAAGTTTAGTCAAACATTTGTTAGTTGCTGATTTAACCAAAAGGTTTGGAAATCTTAAAGGAGGAGCTAATGATATTAAAATGCATAGATGGTTTTAAGCTATGGATTGGGAATTTCTAGTTTAAAAAAAGCTATAGCCTAAATATAAACCAGTAGTTAAGTATAAGAATTAATCTATAAAGGAACAAGGGGGATACCTCTAATTATTCTACTTATCCTGATAGTACTGAGTTACCTAAACCAGTTAAACCTACTGATGATCCTTTTATAGGATGGTGAATGTGATATTTTAAATAAAATAATTTTTAAAATCAAAAAAAACATGTGCAAGTTTCATCTATTATACTAAAAATTGATCCATTAAGTTCTTTCAAAGCTGTCTTAAACTAAACATAATCTTAACTACTAGAAATATAGTAGCATAATGCTATTGTACCAGAAAATTACTTTAATGGTGTACATTTCAATTAAGAATTTAATTATAATAAGTTACTTTCCTAAATATTAATTAACTGAATGTTTTACTTAAACATAATGAGGATCCATGATAATTCCCTAATTATTTTAGTATCCTATAAGGAAATAGGCTTTTTTGTTTTTACCAACTATAGCTCCTGCAAATTATGGCACCTAGATATGCTTTTTAAGTTCAGCTACAAAATATTGATCTAATTCTTTATTTCCTATAATTGCATGAATGACTAATAATTATGGTTGTTTGAATTATAAATCTATTTGCTATTCAATTATGCATTATTCTAAAAAATTGATTATCTTTAATTATTTAATAGTCTTAGCACTAAGAAATAGTTCTTCCAATAAACACATTATCTTTGGACCAGTATACCAATCTCCAATTTTTAGATTATAAATTAGAGAAGCCTTTTTGATTATTTATTGAATAGAGAAGGGAGCTTTAGTGGAGAAATATTCATTATCATCAAACAAACTTATAATTTTAGTTTTTAGATCATTTAACTTTGAATTAGAGTTATCTCTAATTAATGAATTCTAAGTGTATAAAATAGATTAATACAGCAACAATCATTTAACCAACTCTTATTAAACATCCCCAACCTTAATCTGATAAAGCTTTTCCTTCATATTGAATATTGGCTCTATAACTAAACCATATGAAAGTTTCCTTTAACTGAAGAAATGAATCAACATTCTGTATTTCCTAACCAAAAATATACATGAGTTCATTCTGTTTAATATCTTCACTTAATAGACTATCTAATTTAAAAGCTGTATTTGTCCTAATTTAAACAAAGCTTACATCATTTTCATTAGACTTGAACCAAAACCTTGTTTTTATTTCATTTCTTTTAATTATATATAACAGTATACATATTAAACAATATTTATTAACAAATTTATAAACAGAATTAATATGTATTTCTAAGAATTTAAATTTGTTAATATATAATTAATCATAATTCCTTAACACTTTTAGGATTTTTTTGATTAATAAAATCAATCCATTCTTGAACATCATACTCTTCTGCTCCATTCAATATAACTCCATTAACTATAAAAATGGGTGCACCAGAAACTGTTCTATAAGTACCATATTTCCACCAATATCTAGCCTTCAAATTCCAATCAGTGCCTGGTAAAAGTGATTTGGCAAATTTGACTTCATCATACTAATATTATGGATACACATTCTCTTTAGCAAATTAAGCCACTTTATTTAATATTTCTTGCCAAGTCCAATCTAATGTTGCTGCTTCTGCAAGTGTCTCTTAATTATCAAATATAGTTTTTGCAAATAAGTAGGCTGCTTCTGTATTAATTTCAGATAAAAATGCAAATCCTTAAGCTTCTGGGAATGCTGCTCTATGATATGGAAGAGGAAACATATGAATAGTATATTTAAATCTAAGATTAAATAATATGATACTATGTTCCATAACCTTATTATAAGACCTGATCTAAGATTCTGAATGAATTCCTGCTATCTGGACATTATAAATCAAAAAATGCTTCAATTATTAATTTTTTGGAATCTCCTTTACTAACTCCCAATGGTTTATTTGGAATTGGCACATACTAATTTGATAAAACTAGAGTTGCTATTCCTAGAAACAGGAAAATTTTGTTCATTTAATATTAATTTAATAATTGATTTCATCATCACATACATAATGTAGAATTAATTCAATTTTGTTATTTACGATTCTGAATGTATTGAATCCATTATTGAGCTGATAACTCTTCTCCCTTATCAAATAAAACACCATTTACAAATATAGTAGGAGTTCCACTAACACTTCTACTAGTTCCATATTTCCAACTATATCTAGTCTCAATATTTTCAGGTGTACCAGGTTTCATAGAATTTAATAATTCATCATAGTTAATTTAATATTAAGGCAATTATGTCTTAACTAAATCAATAATCTTCTAATTAACTTCAGATTATTTTAGATTCAGAGTTGCCAAATCTATATATAATAAAATCATTTACCTGTGAATTACTCTAAATTATTCAACATCAATCCTTCAAACTTATAGGCTGCTTCTGAAGATATTGTCTTCCAAATGTATTTGTATCCTGCTGATGCTGAAAAAGCATTCTTATGATAAGGAAGGGGAAATTAATGAATGATAAACTAAATTCATAATCAAATTCTTACAGTAAAAGAGTCCTTCTATAATGATTCAATTACAGTTTTGAATATGTTGTAGGATTCTCTAGAACCTGGACAAAATATGTCATAATAGGCTTCAATTACTAAATTTGGATTGTCACCAATAATTAAACCATCAGGAATCTTTGGAATTGGAGTGTATTGACTACCTAAACAAATTCCCAAAAATAGTGTTATAAGAACAAAGACTTTTGTCATTTTTAATATTATAAAAATATATATATATATATAATTATTGTGTATTGCTATTTTATTAAGAATTCCCTATTTCTTATTTCTCATTATTTACTATAATGAAGTATATCAAATATGTAATAATAATAAGAAATAGTTTAATAATTATTAACTTTAAAGATATATGATGAAATGAGATATCTGATAGGATTTATGCAGTTATTAATCATTTATGTTTTGTAGTTTATCAAAAGGAAAATAAGATAGAAATTAATTTCAATGTATCTGAAATGTGCTTATAATAAAATTTTAATTATTTTAACGAATTCTTGTATGATCGATTAAGAAAGTTTGCTAGCCGAATTAGGATTGTTAGATGACAGAAAATTATTGCTAGAGTTAACTATTTAACTTGGATAGAATGAACATGATATCATATATCTATATGATGGGGATGATATTGAACTTAAGGCTAGTTAATTTTGTGAAAAACATCATCTAAAAGATGAAATAAAAGAGATTATTGCTCAAAATATTAAAATACATCTAAATGAGAAAGAAAATTATTTTAGTTTCGTAAATTAATCCAATTAGATAAGCAATACAAATACTAATAAACCTTTATAAGATTAAACAAATAATTAGATTAAAGATGTTAAATAAGAAAAGAAAGAAATTAAGAATGAAATAATAAACAAATCATAGGCTGTTATTAAAAAAACTGATATTTATGAAAAACAAGTAAAGTAAATGAATTACAAAAATAATATACTTTAAAAATAAAGACTTCTTAAAGAAGAAGAATAAATTAAAGAAGCAACATTCAAACCAAGACTTAATTAAAATACATTAAAAATTATAAGTACAACAAGATAAAATAGAAATAAAACTCCAGAATATTATTTATTGAAATATGGATAATAATTATAAGAATAAAAAAGAAAAGCAGAATAATAATTTTTAAATGAAACTTCAAGAGAATGTTCTTTTAGACCTGAAATTAATAAAATGTAATTTTAGTTCTTTATATAGATCCCAGAGAATTTGTGATGAAATTATCAAAACAGATGTGAGTATGACTAAATTTGATTAACTATATAATTAAGCTAAAAAAAGAAAAGCTAATGATAAATCTTAAACATCTATTATATAAGAATCATAAACCTAATAAACTAGAAGAAGTGTTACTCCAAATAAATCATAAAATAAATAATATTTACCATTTTTAGAAAGAATGGAAATGTAAAAAAAAATTAAGGAAGAAAAATTAAAATAAGAAGTTGAAGAATCTTTAATGTATGATGATAAAAGTGGATAAAAACTATTTCAACCATAAGTACATAGTGCAAATAGATCTAGAGGTGGACTTAGTATTGGAGAGTATTTATATTAATAATAAAAATCTGTTAATGAAGAATCAATAATATAATTTGAATGTGATGATTTAAGTAAATCACTATAAACTGATAGATCTAATTAAATAGTTTTATAAATGAGAAAAAAAAAATTAGAAGAATATTTTAAAATTATGGATTCTGATAATGATGGATTGATTAGTGCTTAAAATATTTATCTTGAAGAATTACCAACAGAAGCATTAGAATTATTATAACCAGTTATATTATAATTAGAAAAATTGGATATATATTTGAATATTGATACATGGACAGCAAAATGTTTAGATATCATTGAAAAAATGAGTGTTTTTGATAAAAATCGTCTATTTTTAAAATAACCTAAATAATAAAAGACTTAACCTGATTAATCTAGTACTTTTAGACCTTAGTTAAATTAAAAATCAGAGATTATTGCAAAATAAAGATAAACTTTTAAAGGGCCAGCAGCCTTATATCAAAAGGCAATGAAGGAAAATATAGTTAAAGAACAAAAAATCAAGTAGATTAAAGAATAACAAGAATAAAAAGAGGCTAAACAATGTACATTTTAACCAAAAATTAAATTATTTAATAGGTCTACAACTAGCACAGGATTTTATTGAAATATCACACAATTTACTTAGTTTATAATTATTTATTAATAAATTTATAATATAATATTTTTATAATGAAAGAAGGCTTATATTCATTTAAATAACATATAGATTAAACTAAAAACTAAAGAGCCCCTACTGATAAAAGAATTATTTAAAGAGATTTAATAAATTTATAAAAGAATGGATTTGTTTATCTTGATAAAATTCAAGAAAAAAAAATAGATTTATTAGATTTAGACAAATGTTTATAAAAATTAAATCCTCATGAACATAAATAATCTGAATCTTTGAATAAACATATTTTATAAGTGTAAATTTTAGGTGGTTTAAAATAATAAGAAGACTTGGATAAATTAGAAGAATTTATTTAATAAAAATAAAATAAATAATATGAAGAATAATTAAATCAATTAACTAATGCTAATTAATTTTAGTAAAAACATCATTTATTTTTTGATGGTAAACGAAGAGCAGAAAATATAAATCTAGTTGAAGAAAAAGGTATATATGTTTTTGAAATTGTTACTTTTAGCATATGTAAGAACACACAGATTGGGTGCATTGTTGAGTTGTTTAAAATCTAATCCAAAATATAAACCTGATGAATAACAATAATAATTAGATGAATAATAATAAATTAATTAATAAGAGGAATTATCTATCTAATAATAAAAAACTAACAAAAGTTCTAAATAAAATGATAAAACAATTCCATAATTAATAGCTGAAAGACAAGAATAAGAACCTGAATTAAGTAAGGAATTTTTAACTGTATTTAAAAATGATACCACTTTAGATAAATCAAAATTATAAGCAGCTTTTCCTAAAATTGATTTTGATAATGTAAAATTAGAAAAACAATTTGATCTTTCAAAAATATAAACTATTGAAAAATCAAAAGATTCAACTCTTGCACCTTTAAAAATTAATAAAGTGTAATTCAATCCAGTTGCTAAATAAATTACATATGATGTCGATAATTATGAAGAAAATGGTGAGAGTGTATTTAAAAAGATTGAAGATTTTCATGAATCTTTGAGAAAAGGATAATCTTAAGATACTATTATAGATAAAAATATTGAAATTGTTACAGAAGCAGAAAAATAAGAATATAAATGGAGTTAAAATTAGTATGATTATTATGATAAAATTAAGAAACTTTATATTGATAAATAAACACCATAAAATTATCAATAATAAATAGAAGAAGATCAACATTATAATTAGGTAAATAAAAATCCAAAATTCAATAATATTTATTTAAATACAACTATTAAAAGAGATAATAATTATTAAAAAGCAAGCAATTAAAGTTAATCAATAGTGGATTCTATCTCTAAACTTTAAAATCTAAAATTTCATCAATATGAAACAGCAAAGGATTTATAATTAGAGGATAGACCTACAAAAGATTAATCATAAATAGAAGTTCTTTAATAATAATTATAAAAAGTTCAAGAAAGTTACTTTGATAAAGATTTGGATGATCAAGAGGTCTTTAATTCATACAATTCTGATATTAATAGATTAAATTAAGTTATAGATAATAAAGGAAATGACATTTTTGCAGGTGTTGAAACACTTTATAGATAATATAATTCAAATTAGTTTGATAAATCTTTATAACAAATAGCTCCAAATTTTAATGGGGTTGTTAAATTAGATTTTGAAAAAGTTAAAGAACAATTTAAAGTAATTCCAACAAAATAAAAATAATATAATGAACAATAAAAAGGATAATTCTCACAATTTTACTAAAATATTCAAGGTCCTTTGGATCTATTACATTAAATTAATAATACTTAATAATAAGCTTAAGAAATAGAATAAGATTTAATACATAATGAATTACATTAAAAATCATTATATTTAATTGGATAATTGCCATAACCTCAATTTTTTGCTAATAAATATACTACATTTAAAAATGGTAACGAAAAAAGTGTCTTCAATTTGATTGGTAATTAGCATTAAATCATTAAAACTCCTGACAAAGATTTATAAAAGAGATTTAGATATTAAAATATTTTGAGTAATGTTGATGATGCTAGAGAGAGATTCAAATATAATTTAACATGTTAATGATGATCAAATAAAATTTAATATACTTTATCATCTTTTAAATCCTCCTCTTCCATAACCTCCTCTTTATTATCCACCACCTCTACTAAAACCACCTCCTCTTGGTGCTCCTCTTCCACCTCTAGGAGGTCCTCCTCTTCCTCCTCTACTGAATCCTCCTCTTGGTCCTCCTCTACCACCACCTCTTGATCCTCCTCTACTTATTCCTGGTGCACCTTTTGGTTTTGGTAAAAATCTATCCATAGGCATGCAATCATAGGCATCCATATATATCAATTAATCTTATTTGAACTTTGATTAAATGTTTTGAATACTGATTTTGGAGCAATTCCTTCTTCTAATGTTACTGAGAATAAGTAATTTTCAATTGGACCAAAAATTTCATCAACTTTACCTATTGGTTGCTTATTTTCAAAATACACACTTCTAAAGAATCTTGGAACCTAATAATGATCATCTTCAATACTAATTGTTTTCCTAAAGCCTTAACAATAATTTGATTTCCACAAACATGAGAGAAAGTAGCGAATGGTTCAACTTTTGCTGGTGGCCCTTATGTAAATTGAGGTCTTCCTCCTCTTCCACCTCCTCTACCAAAACTGCCACCTCTAGGGGCACCTCTTCCTCCACCTCTACTATTGAAATCACCTCTGCCCATAATTTAATTTTTATATATATTTTTATTCATAATTCAATCTATTCATATAAGTTTTATGGTGGTTCGCTGATCATCAAGAAAATTAACAGTACAAAAAAATACTCTGGCAAGGGGAATTGCAATATTATTATTGGTAGAAGTAGTGAAATGGTCACTATTAATATTTAATAATAAAAAATACTTGAAAATTTTTAATCCATTATTGTTGGCAAAAGTTTTAAAATAACAAAGCAAATAAGTAAACCTTACAAGATATTTTGTAAAAAAAGATTATTATGGCTTAGATAGAAGTAAATAAGGAATATGATTGCAAATACTATATCAGGTACTCTATTGATCAATATTTTAACAAAAGGTAAACTAAGAACTATTGATACATATAATTAATACTCATAAAGATCACTTGATTTTCATAAAAATTACTATTTACCATGTCCAATTTTTACATTAATATAATACAAGCTATTAATCTACTAACATAATATTTAAAATTAATTTTTGGTTTGTGTTATTTTTCGTGCATTAAGGTTTTATTTAGCATTATAATCAATAATACTAATACAAATTATGTAAAACCAAATAATACTTTTTAATGAGGTAATATTATATTTGTTATTAAGGGTATTAAGTAAAGTAAACTATAAATCTCTTAAATATATTAATTATGATACCATTTTCCCTTGTCCTAGTATTTTATATAGCAAATATATCATTGTGAATTGCAATCTTAATTGACAGGCCAAAAATTAAACCAAACCAACAATAAAAATATTTATATTTAAGTTTTTAGTTACATCTCCAATAAAGGCTAAGGGAATCAATCCCATTTCCCAAATTATTCCTTAAAATTCATCTGAAGTTTGACACGTAATGTAAGCATCATCAGTTTTAATTATAAGTAATCCAATAATAAAAATTGATATGTAAGCAACCTAGTTGAAATATTTATTATTGGATATACTTTTTCATACCTTGAAACTCCCTTTAATTCTTCAGCCAAAGAATTTTCTTCTATAATCATTGATGTTTAATAAATATATTATAAATTGACTTATATTAAGTCTTTATATAACTATGTATTAAAATAAGAAGCTTAATGAAGTGTTTTCTTTACTCATGAGTCTTGGAATATGTAGATGAAACAAAAATTAGCAAGATAATATCAAAAATCAATATTAGATTCACAAATTTAGGGGCACAAATGGTAACCTTGTGTTAGGATTGAAGATTTTTGCTAGAATTGATCTGGAATAGTTTTAGACTAGGCATCTAATTGTCTTTTTTTTGGTTATACTTCCTCACAAGAACTCTCATAATCGCTTAGACTTATTTCTTTTAATTATTATTATGGTTTAAGGGCTATTTTCTCAAGAAAATGAGTTAATTTATTGAGAAGCAATTATTTGAGTTTTTTATTATCTATTTTGAGAGACATATTTTATTTCTTATTGAGCTATTAATTTTCGAATTCTTCAATTTCGGATAAAACATTCTTTAGATTTCTCAAAGGTTCCCAAGTATTTTCTGCTTCACTATAACCTTCCCATTTAATACAATATTATAATTCTTTTGAAACAGGATCATAACGTCTGTCTACAATTTTTTCGACTATGTATAATTAAGAGTTATGTTTCTGCTTTTGACGGTGTTTCATTTATATTTAAAATATATAGATATTTCTTATTTAAATCTCATTTTTCTTGAATTGCAATCATGTCTTCTTTAATAGTTGGATATTCTTTTGGAAGCCATTCCTCTAAATCTACACTTAAGTCCCCTTATAGTTCAATAGCTCCTTTATCATTGATTGAAGAACCACAACCAAATTTTTTACTAATTTTTTTTTAAGCTTCTTTGATATCAAGACCTTCGATAAGTAGAATTATTACCATGTTTTTCTAATCCTGATAAAGTTGTTATAAATTTGGTCCTATTTCTTTCTTTAACTTTTATATATACCATTTCACTTTCTGTCACCTTGACTTTCTTCTTTTTCTTTTTTTCAGGAGGTTAATCTTATTATGCTATTTATTCTTGTGGTTATTAGAGATTGGCTTATTTTTCTTATTCTAGTTTGACATCTTCTGGATATATATTTGCATAAAGATCTTTAAATGATGTTTTTAACCATTCTTTGCATTCTTAGGGAGCTTTAGAAAATGAACAAAATTCAACAGGTAATGTACATACTTTGCAATAGATGACCTATTTAGGATTCTTAGGATTATTTAATTATTATTCTGGTTGATTTAGTTCTTATTTATGTTATTTTTATTGTTATTATTGTTGTTACTATTGTTATTGTTTTTATTATTGCTCAATTTTCTTTTTGCTTTGTTTCTTCTTTTTAAAAATATCATCATCTGAATCACTCATAGTTTTTCAATTATTTAAAAATAAATTAAAGATTTTAATTATTATTTGAAATGACCAAAAAAACAAAGAAGGTAGGAATTACAGGAAAATATGGTACCAGATATGGTGCATCTTTAAGAAAAATTATTAAGAAGTTCGAAATTTCATAACATCAAAGATATTTCAACACTTTTACTGGAGCTGTAATATATATTATAATATTCTAGCATTCACTCAAAAGATAAGCTATTGGTATTTGGAGATGCACATAAACTGGATTATAAATTGCTGGTGGTGCTTGGGAAGTCAAGTAATATTTTATTTCATTTATTAGTACTCCTGCTGGATTATCTGCAAAATAAGGTATGTTGAGAATCAAGAAATTAAAGGAAGATGCTGAAGTTGAAGTCAAGGATGAAAAGAAAGAATAAAAAAAACAATAACCAAAAGAGTAAAAGGAATAAACCAAAGAACAACCCAAGGAACAAACAAAAAAAACATAACAAAAAAAATAATAAGCAAAGAAACAATGAGTATATTAATCAAATATAATAATAATTAAAATATGAATAAATTAATATCTACTGTTGTGAAGAGTATGCAATCACAAGCTCCTCTATATGCTTATCATTTTCCTAATGGTTCTGTCTATAATAATGTACCATATCATCTATTCTTTAGCCAGCAGTAACTGCTAAGAGAATCATTAAGGTGGTTGGAGAAAGATTAAGAAAAATAGATCCAGAAAGAGTAAATCAAGATTTAATTATCTTTATAGTGGGAGTCGACACCAATTACATTTAACACTAATTGGAATGATGCAGCAGGATATGTTGATGTTGCAACTTGTATTCACATTCATGATGCTCTTGAAAAGGAGTTTGGTATTGAGATCAAGGATAGAGCTTTTCTTGTTTCCAGTATCGAAACTGCATTTTACATAGTAAACATTCATCACGATAGTCATTGAGATATATCAAAAATATAAAAATTTAAAACATTATTTTAATTTATGTCTTAATAACTATTTAAGGTGTATTTGCAATCCATTTAACATACTTTCAAGGATTTACCAAAAGGAAACTTTTATTGGAGATTTCATAAAAGAGATATCAATAAGATTGTTACTACTCCTTGTCCAGTAGATTCACCAACAAAAGAAACAGAAATATAATTATTTAAAGAATTAAGAGCATAAATTGGAGTCAGAGAAGATTTTGTATGTCCTCAATGTCCTCATCATGCAAAATGTTAGAAGGCATTTTAATAAGCAGAGGGAGGTAATATGTAAACATTACTATTACCAAATCTTTCTAAATTTTTAGAAACCATTAGTACTCATTAAATGAATTTGTAAATTATTATTTTATTCATTATAGATAAAATGATTAAAAAAGTTTTTGGTTGTCTAGTACAAGAGTTTTAGATACATTTCATTCCATTTTGATTGATTTTCAACTTAATCAAAATAAACTTAATGAATAATTTTTGAGTGATATAGCTTAAGTTTCTGAAAATGAATCTATTCATCAATAAGAACCTAGTAAAAGACCAAATAAATATACAAAAAAAGCTGATTTTTTAGAGGATCAAAATACTTAACCAAAAAAAGAAGGTAGAAGACCTGAAACTGAAGAATTTGATAATGATAATAAGCATTAAGGCAAAAGATATAATTATAATGATAATTCTGAGAGTAGTAGTAGATACGAAAAATTTAATAGATATGATAAGGGGGACAAATATACTAATAAATATGATAGATCAGATTAATTTAATAAAAGAGATAGATTTGATAGATATGATAATTAATACAAATAAGATCGTCATTTTGATTAAGATAAATATAATGATTCTGGTAGATATGATAAATATGCAAATAAATAAGATAAATATGAAAGATATGATAACAAAGATAGATATAATAGAAAAGACAGATCTTAGAAATATGATAGAGAAGCAAATGGAGATTAATTTAGAGAAAATAGAAGTTTTGATAAATATGAAGATAGAAGTTAAAGATATGACAGAAGTGAAAGAAGAGATAAATTTGATAGAAATGATAGAAGTGAAAGAAGTTTTAAAGGAGATAGATTTGAAAGAAGAAATACAGATTATAGTGAAGAAAGTAAAGAAACATCAAGAAATTATAAAGGTAGAAGAGATGATTTTTAGGATAATGAAAAAAGTCATTATGAAAATGATAGATTTTAAAAAAATAATAAATAAACAAAAGTTAAAGAAGAAGAAGATTTTAATACATTTGTTAAATAAAGAGAATAATATTTGAAAGAAAAAGAAGATAATTTTGAAGGAGATAAAAAATAATATTAAAATAAAAAAGATGTTAAGAGTGTTTAATAAAATGATTAAGAAAATTTAAATGAAATTAATGATGAGGAAACTCCATAAGGTAGAAAAGTTAAAAGGAGTATGAAATTTAAAATTTAATGAATTTGAAATATTTTATTTTATATAAATTAATTATCAAATATGGATGAAGTTAATAAATATAATTTATATTTTAATGATTTATAAATAATTTTGAAGCTCATCATATTATTATTTATAATTTATATTAAAATATCTATATATGTAATTATAAATGTTGTATATATAAAGGATTTTACATTTTTATTCTATAGGTTATCTTAAATATAGAGTGATTGTATAATTTTAAATAACAAATTCATATACATATAAATAATTAAATAGCATATAAATATATATATGAAATAATAATTTTTACAAATTAGACTTTAAGACTCATAATAGGAGAGATCTTGTATTTCCTTAGAAAATATGGTTGAGATGCTCAAGGATCCAGATTTTATATAGAAGTGTCAATAATGTTAATATGATTATGAATTAATTGAATTATTTCCTTTAGTAGGTTATGGTATTACGATTATTAAAACAAAAAAAAATTCAGAAACTAAAATAAAGATTACATAGTTTTCAAAAGTTGAGAAAATTATAGATCTAACCTATTTGGATTTAAAAAAAATCTCTAGAAAGGAAGGAATGCCAAACTGTATTTTGCCTTTATTATCCTCATAAGAAGCAAATGCTGAATTATTGACATGTGAACTATTTAAAAGAAAGATTTCTTACTTAGTACATGAAAAATTAGATTCTTATAAAGAAGACACTTACTTTTATTTACTTTAAGCTAGTATTCATCATATAATTAAGAAAGAGGGGATTTAATCTTGGGGAAAAGAGATTATGTTACTTGTATTTGAAACTTGTAAGTAAGTATTTATTAATACTCAATTTTTTTGTAATTCAATAGCCACTTAATAATTCTAATAATCTAAGTTTTAACTTCTAAACTTATTCTGTTTATTTTAAATGGGACAATTAACAACAGAAAAAATTTTTTAAAATTACCTTAAACCAAATATAATACTTGAAAATTATCAGAAATTAGATGAAGATTAAATCTAAATATTTTTTGATAATTTAAGATTTGAAAATATTAATTAGATTTATGAGAATATCTTTCAATTTATGGAAAATTATTTAAGGGAGAATAATTATTTTATTATTAAACTAACATAAAAGAAAATTATATATGGAGTTATAGAGTATATGATACCAAAAGAAAATTAATGGGAAAATCTAGAAAAACTTTAATAAATTTAAGATTAATGGATGGAAATACAAAAATTAAAATATTTCACAATTTCAACTATCTATTTAAAACTTTTAAATAATCTATTTGAAGAATATAATGATGAAAAGAAAATTAAATATTTTTAATCATTTTCTCGACATTATGAAGAAGATGATGAATAATCATTTCAATATTTTCTTATGTAACATACTAAGTATTAAGATATTTATGATATTTATGAATTATATAGATAAACATAAAATAGTTTTTCAGAAGATGATCCTATTTTTATAGAAAAATATTATTCTATAGCTATTCGCTTTATTGTGAATAAAATACCAATTGATTAAATTAAGAATACAAATCCTGAAAGTTATAAGGACTTAAAATAATTAAAAGAATTAGAAAGAATATAAGAATATTTATAAATATTTTAAAAAATCTTTTCGTTAAGTGATATAAAAGCTAAATCAATTCATGATAAAATAATTGAGGAAGTTTAAAATTTAACTTGGTTGAATTATTTATCATCAATTACTAATTTTAAAGAAGAGAATTAAATTAAATAATTCTTATTAAAATTTATTTCTCATTTATAAGGATGGAAATCAAAATAATAATAGGAAGCTTGTGCAAAAAATTTAATTGAACTTAGTAGATTTAGTTTTTTATTATTACAAA